ACAACCATGTACAGTCACCCAAAAAGAAAATGACGCATCCATAAACGAACTCCTACCGTGCAACCCCGATCCCTTGACCGCAACCAACCCTTGTCATAAGTTATTAGAGATCGTAAACTGGTTTTGAATGATGTTCGACATATCGTTTATCGTCTTTGGAAATGTTTAAAGATTTTTTGTTGGAAATGGTTGGTTAGGAGAAATGAAATAATACAATTTGCAAGTTCGTCGCGACGCGACGTTTCGACACTTTGAGAAAAGGTCACAAAAATAAATTTGTTAGTTTGATTGCAAATTTAATTTACTATGTGGTTGATGCAAAATAAGTTTTAATGTGCTATTATGCCATATAACAAACATGGCAAAACACGGATTCTTATTACATTTTGTTTAAATTATCATTGTGAATTATTGAACAAAATTGATGGTTTTTATTAACATTTTTGTTACTAAATGGTTCAAAAAATTGGAATAAACGGAATAAAAGTTATCACTGAACGTTACGGCAATTCATTCATGGAAATACCCGGATTAAAATTCCGACCATTAGTGCAAATAAGATTCACTGGGAAATAATTAATATACCCTTATCACCACAAGTGATAACTAATGACCAAAATAAGTTTATTGTAACAAACAAACACATCAAGTCTTATTTGATTTTATTTAGAATAATTAATGAATAAAATTAAATATTATAAGTGGTTAAAGTTTTATTGTTTACTGTCTAAATTTTAGAAGTTGAATTTCAAAAATCTGAACCCACAAAAAGATATTGTTTTTTTTATTAAATGTTTCAAAAAATCGGAATAGTCAGAATAAAAGTTATCAATGAACGTTACGGCACTTCATTTATGAAAATAGGCTGATGAAATTTCTGACCATTACCGCAAAGAATACTCCAAAAGTGTCGAAACGTCGCGATAAACTTGAAAAATAGGCATAGCAGTACATAAAATAGGCATAGCACTTGCGCCAGAACTCGCGCCCTAGAGAAAATTTTCAAGTATAAGGTAAGATACCAGGAACATAGAAAAAATGTTTAAAAAATTCTATCTGTCAAAAAATTTTGACATTTGACATTTTTTATGTGTATTTAATGATACTGATGATCTTGTAAATGTTTTTTTACAATTATTTAGTAGAGGTACAAAAATTTTGCCATTAAAAGCCACAAATAACAGTGAACAGAGTTACAATTTAGGATACAGCTTCCTTGTTTCCTCTTTTAATAGCCTATAGCAAAAAACTTGGAAAATTATTTTGCCAATAAAAATAAATAGAGTCAAAGTGCAAAATTTAAACCCGCATAACTTCGAAATTTTTATAGATAAAATTTTTTTAACATTTTTTCCATGTTCCTGGGATCTTACCTTATATGGCATTTTTCTCTGGGGCACGAGTTCTGGCGCACTCTGTATGTACAGGTGTCCCAGCGAGTTGAAAAAAAAATTAAAAAAATTATATAGGACATTGATTGATACTAATCTAGTTCATTGCCTAAAATTATTTTCAACTATACAGCGTGTCTCAAAAATAAGTTACAACACAAACTTGTGTTTTTGTAAATGAAACACCTAAAGTTTCTTAGCGTTTTTGGATATAGATTTTTACGACAATATTTTTAAGCTAAACTTTTATTGGTTGATTTTGCTTAGTTTTAAAAATAAGACAGTTTTTTTGACGAAAACATGCTCTTTTTAAAAATTTATTACACAAAAACTAAGACATTTAGAAATATTTTTTACTACTGCAAAGAAGAAGGTGCAAGCTATAAGGTTGACACATTTTTTAGTGTGTTGCATTTGCAAAGATGAAAAATAAAGGCGATTGTTAAAAGTGCAATAACTTATCAAATTTAAATGGAACACCCTATTTATTGTTTTTACATTTAAAAGTTGCACAAGAGATGGAAGAAATATCACTTAATAATCACATTTGTGTTAAACTGAATCCATCATTCTTTATTTTTACAATAAAATAATTCAAAATTTCAGTATTTATAACGATTTTTACAATCACTGGATAAATCAACGGATAAGTGATTCGTGGTGGAATTACTACGATTGCCATAGTAGTAGTGCTCAGATATATTGATAGGCATTGTAGCTACAATTAATTTTGAATATTAAATATCTGTTCATTTATCAATTCTAGCCATTAAAAATTATTTTTTTAGATAGCAAATTTATCTATCTATTAGATACAACAATAAAAAATAGGGTGTTCCATTTAAATTTTTTAAGTTATTTAACTTTTCACAAACTTCTTCGTTTTTTAATCTTTACAAATGTAAAACACTAAAATATTGCCAAGCTTTAAATTCTGTACTTTCTTCTTCTTCAGAAGTAAGAAAAAATTTGTTTTAGCTGTCTTAGTTTTTGTGTAATAAATTTTTTGTCAAAAAAAACGTCTTATTTCTAAAACTAAACGAAATCGACTAATAAAAGTTTGGCATAAAAACATTGTTTTAAAATGCTTCATCCAAAAATGCCAAGAAACATACGGTGTTTCATTAAAAAAAAACGCAAGTTTGTATTGTAACTTATTTTTGAGACACGTTGTATAATTGAAAATAATTTTAACCGATGGACTAAATTAGTATCAAGCAATGTCCTATATATTTTTTTTTATTTTACCATTTGAAGGTTACTAATGGACTTTTTCAACTCGCTGAGACACCTTGTACATACATTCTAAAATCACTGCTCTCTCGTAAATATGCTTACCTATTGAAAATTAAGTTTGATCTGAGTGAATAATAAATTAAAGATGAAAGAGATCGAAACACACTACAACGGTTTAAAAGTATTTTCGTTGCATTATTGAAAAAAAATGTCAATAGATCAAACAGTTTTGTAAACACTTCTTTCCGAGACAATCTCTCGACATTTCGTTATTACATCCATTTATTAATTTTTCTTTCATCGTTTTGATTTTGTTGTTGACTTCTCTCTTCGGGGCCTCTCTTCCGCTAACCGATTTGTTTGTTTAACGCGTTTAGGGACTTTCGCTTCGAAATTGAATTTGAGAAATCTGGAAACGGTTGGTAGTGCACGATCATTCAATTTCATAGTAAATTGTTCATAACGGAAGCTCATATCCGGGCTTGTACCCCGTGTGAATCCCTGTCGACGCCCCCGAACTGGTCGAAGCCGAGATTGAGTTCTAATTCACGTATCCTGCAGTCTCGTCGTTCTCGACATTCAACGTTCCATTTTCATGGAAATTTATGGATAAAATAATGATACACCACGACCAGTAATTTGCTTATGGTCAACTGTTGGCCTCTATCGATTGGCCGATTCAAGACGATTTTAGTAAATTGATATTTCGACGGGCTTCTAGAGGGATCAACGACCAAAATACGATATCGGCCGCAATTAGGGCACGAAGCGATTGAAATTTAACATGAATTTTGGGAATTGTGAACGTGTGGATGAGGAAAGAGAAAAGAGGGTTGCATGGCAAATACCAGCGCCATATTTACTCAGTGCTCTAGGACGATTCAATCAATTCGGTGCAGGGCAAATACGGCGCCAGATAACAGTGACGTCATAGCTTGAGAATCAAATAAAATGCTTTCAACTTGTCTAATTTTTTTGTGATCTTGCTGTTTTATTTGTTGTTATGAATTTGAAATAACCTTTAACACATCTTGACTTGAAAATTTGCAAAGTTGGTTTAATTTTGCTTTCAAGTTATAAGAAGCAACAAACAAGAAGCTAATCAACTTTGTTAACTCATTTCAAACTAAATTTATTATATTATTTTAATTATATCTTTTGGAAAAAGGAATTAAAAAAACTTTTGAAAACGCACAAAATCTAAATACCAGATGAATAAAAACTGGCAATTTTTTTCAACAAATTAACTGTAAAAAAATCAACAGGGTTAGTTTAGAAAAAAATAAAGTTGTGAAAACATATTTTGTAATATTGATTGACCAATCTGAAATATTTTCATATACAGATTGTCCCAAATATTATTAAAACAAATACAACTTTATATAAATACAGTACTGATGTTGAAATTTTAGTTCTAAGAAATACAGATATACAGTTTAACAGTTTCTCTAAAAAGTTTTTTTTTAATAGAAATAGATGTACTTACTAAAAAAAATTTCCAAAAATTCTTAAGCCAGAATTTTTTGAACTTACTAAAACTAAAACATTTTAGCATTCATTAGTAATTAGTTAACTTACTTACATACTTTGATTATACTAACTACATAATATTGATAACGATAACCATTAACCACTACTTATTTCAAGTTAAACGCAATATATTATTTTTTAATAAATGAAAACGTCAACTTTTCAGTACCAAAAATAGAGCCTAAAATTAAAAATATTTTATAGTACATTTATTGTACTCACATAGGAGAGCGTAATGATTTTCATCTAGCCGCCTATAGAATTTTCATGCAAAATAAAAAATGCCGCTTTAAAAAATATTGAATCTAATTAATCTCAAATGTTAATTTATTTCAATTGACAGCCGTCACTGTTGACAGAACTATCTGACTCAAAAAAATTAGAGCGGCACAGAAAAATTTACATGTAAAGAAATTCTATAGGCGACTAGATGACTATTGTGACTGGGTCTTCTTACGTCACATTTAACCTGCGCAAGAGCGCTATTTGAAACTGAACTTAATTTTCGCGAACTTTAACTTTAGACGATATTTTAGATTTAATATAAGTTTAATAAATTATGCAATAAATAACATGGATTATAGGAGTAGGTACGAGTACCTCAACACAAATGCACACTCAAAAATAAAAATGAAGAGTATTGCAAGCCAAGTGTGACATTTCTATTATAAGACAAAGAATTTTTATTTAACTTTATTCATTGGAACAAAATACCTTTATTTGCTCACCTCTAATTTGCCCAACAAATATAGACACATACCACATTATTTATAAACAATTTACGTCAAAAATTCAAATTTTTTAAACAAACAAAGCACGAACAAAGTTTTTTAGTTTGCTTTTAGCTATGTTAAGCAATGGATCAACATAACAGGTAAGTAATTATCGCTGAAAAAATTCCAAAAGTAAAATAAAAAATCAGAATAGAGCGTTTGCACCATTCTTTACCAACCCTCGACTTGGATCTAAACCAAGAACCGCATCAAAGACCTAAACCTAAATATCGAAAATCGCATCAGAGACATGGAGAGTAAGTTTGTACATTTTTCGACCACTCTATATACAAAATAATTAATAATAATTTTCCAGTGATGTTTTAACTTGTATCATTTCGGCTTTTTACGCCAAGTTTATGGTAATTTTGGGAATAGCCCTGCCGGTCACCGATGCAATAGCCACCAATGAATACGATACCTACGACGTAAGTAAATTAATTAAAATTAAGTAAATATTAAATCCGATCAAAAAAAGAGCTTCTTTGCACTATATACAAACATAAAAATTCAACCAATAACCGAGAGTTGCATTTATGCTTTCTAGACTTGTTTTATTAAGGAAATAAACTAAGTGCACGAGTATTAATTAGAAAAGTTTACCACGAGCTGCACTCACTCGAAACTCAAAGATTTCAATTTCATAATCATTGCGATTCATTTCAGGCTTTTTACATGTATTTGTATCTGGGTAGCATCATTTTTCTACTCTACATGTACATGATACAGATGAAAGAAAAAACAGTGCAAGACTATTGGCGTAAGTGCTTGATTAAGTCTAGACGAGATAAAAACATTTTTTTAGGACGTTCCACAGACTCGGATGAATCTTTCAGCTCGAAAAAAAATCAATATGTCAGATATGGCAGCTTCTATTTCCGTATGGGCGTCACTGGTAGGTGAATTTTTGTCATTAAAAACAAAAATTAATTAAATTTGAGAAATTCATAAACAAGGACAAATTAGAAATGCTGACGACTTTTTCACTCCACCTTGTACAAGTAATTTTTCGTAGGATTTGGAATCGGTTCGGTTATTTACTCGGGCTTGCAATTCGGCCAGTACTTTGAACTTTCTTCACAAAAGGATTGCGATAATATGCTTAAGGCTGTGAAACCACTTCTGAGAATAATATTCGCCCTTATGCAGATGTTGTTTATATTTTCTTACAGCAACGTAAGTTTGAAAAGTTTCAAGGGAAAATCCCGAAATAACAAAGGTTTTTTTTAAGTTTATAGACGTACAGCGAAGTAAGATTATTGCTAGATTCGGGTTGATGCATATGATCGCTGCAAACTTATGCGAATGGCTTTTTGTTCTCATCGAAGAAACTCAACATGACATCTACAAGTCGGCCAAAAAACGCCAGGATAATGCCGCGAGAGACAATATGTCTTTGTCTGAAGCCGATTTTCAGTTTTTGAACTCGAATACGTTCAGGATAACGAAGCAGTTGTACGAACATAAAGTCAACTGTCTCAGCTCTAATATGATGGAACCCATTTTGGTCAAGTCAGAACCCTACTTGGCGCCGTGTACGGTTGAGTATAGCCTGCTGTGTGCCGTTATTCTAGGGCTGATGTGGAAAAACACACAAGGTGAAAATTTAAAAGGTAATAATTTTACAAAAAATAGGAGTAGTCAAAATTTTAACATTGAATTTTTCGAATTTGAATGTTTAAAAAAAATTGCACATGATTTTTTTGCAGAATCAGATAGTAATTCTCTCGAAATCGGCGAGAAACAAAGCGGTTGCAACATTATCTACCCGAGACGGCAAAGTCAGTTTTCAGTCGACTGTGCTCAAGCACATAAAGGATTATTTACAGGAATCCTCGTTTTGGCTGTAACTGTAATCAGCCTGATTATGTTTTTCGAATTAGTCGGCTTCAAACAATATAAAGATATCGCAATATTACAGGTGATTCTCTTTTTTCGCTCAACTTATAAGCAAAACGAATACTTTAGGTGAACGTATGGGAAGCTGTTCTTTTCTCCCTAGGCACCGTGGCGACCCTTTTCTGCATCGCGGCTCTCCGCGACGTGGGATTCCGCCAAATGAAGCGAGACTTGGAACTAGAGCACTTGTTACTCCTCGTAACGCAATGCGGCGTGTTTATGTATTTTCTGTTCCAAATAATCGGCGCTGTTCTCATGGGACTGAACAAAGGCAAAGGCGGAATAATGAGGTAATCCTCCAGTGGTATAAAAACTCCAGTAGGAATTTGGAATTGAAACGATTGCAGGATAATCACACCGTTGTCGGCACTGGTCCAGAGCTCCTGTCAGACGGTCCTGATCCTGGACGCGTGGCGAAGACGCTGCAGTTCGGCGTCCCAAATGCGTCGAAAGCCCGGCCGACAACTAATCACTTTCCTTCTTGTGGCCAATATCGCGCTGTGGATGGTCAATAGATTGAAGAATAATCGGGCAGTGTCGCATCCCAATCAGATGGACTTTTACGGAGTGTTGGCTTGGAATATTATCACACATGTCTCGATGCCGTTAGTGGTCTCTTATCGATTCCAGTCGAGTGTGTGCTTTTACGAGATTTGGAAGCACGTCTATAAGATGAGGACAGTCGACGACGACAAAGACACGAACATTTAATTTGATCGTTTTTTATAAAAAAAAATCGCAATAAAAACAAATGATACGAAAATAAGTTTTATTTCTAAACCTATATTTTCTAAAATAACAAAATTTGTAAAAAAAAATACATATTTTGTTAAATAAAAACAGCTAATCTTAAATATACAAAAATAAAAATACAGAGTTTCTGAAACAATTGTTTATAGTTCACAGTTTTTTAACCAAGTAATATTTCCTACGACCCTAACAGAAAGTAAGACTTTCCACCCAAAAAGTGGCCAATGTGAGGTAAAAATTTACCTTCCTCAACTGTCAAAATTACACCTTACCAGGTGAATAAAAAGTACGGAACCAAACGTTTTTTGCTTAAACCATTTATTTTTTTTTGGAAAAAACTAATTGATGAGTGATAAAGTACTATAAAAATGTGATGATTTAACAAGAATAAAATTTTTCGAAATTTCCTTTTGTTTTTGAGTTCTACAAAAAAAAAATATTTTTTTTAAATGGCAACCCACTATTAAATCATTTTTCTCATAAAAGCTATACTCTAAAGATTACAACTATCTGCTTTATATTTAATTTTTTTTTTAATTTTCACATAAATTGCAATTTTGACAAAAAAAAATCGCATAACTCAAAAACAAAACAAAATTTCGTTCTGAAAATACCATCACATTTTTTATATTACCTTAATTTATATTAATTATTATTTTCTGGAGGCAAATGATTAAAACTAAAACCGCTTGGTTCCATACTTTATATTCACCCTGTATGTAACTTATGAAGAAAATAAAAATTGCTTAAATTATATAGTATGTCCCCGGATTGAGTTTACAAGAGGAAACAATTTTTTTTGATTTTACGCCAAAACTGCAAAGGAAAAACATTTTTTGCTTCACCTAAAACCTAAAACACTTTGACAGTTAATTTATTAATTGAATAATGATAATTTTTGTTAGAAATGACTTTGTTGCTTATCCTAAAGCCGTTTCTTTTAGTTGCCATTTATTAAAATTATGTTTTTCACAAATTTTTTGTTATTTAACTAGCGTAAACTCATTTGTCAAATTGACATCATTGTCAAAATAATAAAACCTGCAAATGTGATAGGACGTGTAAATTTGATAGCAGACAAGTCCAAAATCAAGAAAAAAATGAATTTTTCTTTCTACTGAGTTAGAATAATAAAGTTTTACAGATTTGCTCCTTTCAGATAAAGCAAAAAATGTTTTTCCTTTGCAGTTTTGGCGAAAAATCAAAGAGATTTTTTTCCCTCTTGTAAACTCAATCCGGGAACATACTATACTGGAGAAAAGTTTCTTTTTCTTTTTGGGTGGCAGTCTCGACAAATTTCGGGCAGTAATTTCCACCTGTAAGAGGAAAAGATAAACTTTCCTCCCTCGTAATACAAATAGGTAACAATTCCAAATTTAAGAAAAAATCTGGGAATAAAAGTATTATTTTCGTTATTCGTTTTAACGACATAAAAATCTGTTATTAGTTTCAAGTTTAAAATCATGAAGATATAACAAGCTTAGAAAAACCTAAAGAACAATTTACACTTTTAATCTGTCAGGAAAATTGGGTGGACGAAATTCACTGTCCACCACTGTACTAATTCTGTTTTTGCATATTTTAGATTTTGCTTGTTTGCATCGCCTATTTGATAAACAGTTTCTTCATGTTAGGAACATAAAACACTCTTCTGTTTTTATATCTTTATTTTCTTCACTATTATTGATTGGATATGACAGAAAACATGGGTGATTTATATTGCGTCTTAACTTTGTAAGCTGTTTTCCATATTTCAAATAAACAAATCGTAGAATGAAATCTGTAGAAAATGGCCATCGGCATCGAAATGTGCGTGATGATTGTCCACGCCCACTCTCCAAAGAAGAGCAAATGCGTGGGCCGAAACTCGGCACGATTTTTTTCTAGCGTATTAATAGTCCACATGGCCATATTAGCAATGATAAGAAACGTGATAAGTTCTTTACCAGGCTTGTTTTTAATGTGTTCGAGGGTGCGGCAACGCCGCCACCAACCATCGAGGACAAACATCGTCTGGAGACAAGTCTGGATGAAGGAGAAGATTTCAGCAAGAATTCCCGTAGGCAGACTACCAGACATGGTGAAGTAGCACCCGATAATAGAGAACATGCAGTAGATGAACATCCCGGTTTGGGCAACGACGAGGAGGGTGTTGTCCAGGCCAATCCCCGCCTGTCCTTCAGCTACAACAAATTTTAACAACTCGCAAACTCAAATAGTGAAAGTAATTAAAAGTGGGCTTACCTCCGATTTTTCGGTCGTATTTGAGGGAACGCATTTGCACCATCGCCACGATAACCACAATCGTGGTTAATATGTAAAGAACTAACTCGACTATGTTCACTTCGAACTCGGCCATGCTCAAATTATCCTCTTCACTGCCGCTCGGTTCGTTAGCCAACACGAAGAACATTATCAAAGAAATTATGGTCAGAACGATGATCATAATCCCAGCAAATAAGCCGCGGTGAGCGTTAGAACAGTCCACGCTGAAATGGTGATTAGAGTTGACGGGGCTGCCGCCGAAAGGATCTAAACACAGAGAGATTTGGGCTAAGTGCTAAGAACACAACTGCTTGAGTACAAAACCGGACTGGCATCAAAAAACAAAAAAAGGAAATAACATTTGTTTCAAATACGAAAATTTTATAACTTTATTAGATAAAGTTTTCTAGCTTTGTAACAATCGGAAATAACTACATCTAATAAAAAACTCTAACTCTCTCTCTCTAACTCTCTAACTCTTGACTTTTAAGTATTTTATATAATTCTGCATGCAACCACTATATTTTCCAGGTGTAGAAAAAGAATTCAAAATGTGTTAAATCTGTGATACATTTGCCGACTTTTAAGTTTGCAATAATGCTTTTTTTAGCATGTTTGATTTGCACTTCTCTTGAGTAACTGTCTAATAACCAATAACCAAAACTTTTTTTACACCTTTCAAATGTAAGAGACAATATTTTAATAGTAATTGATCAGTTTCTGTCTATTACACATCTGTTTACATTTATAAATGTTGTCTTGTAGCTAAGCCATAACTGAATCTTGTACTTATGTAAAATCGGTAAGCTAAAATATTAGGAGCTTACCAAAAGTTCAATTGTTAACATTTCTCAAAAAATTAACTATCATTAATGTGAAAACCAGTAAACGAATGTAACGTTATTTATTTAAACAGAAAGAGCACTGTAAACAATACCTTATAGTTTAATATAAAATTGAAAATTCCGAGGAAAATTTAGTACAACTGCTTTTTATTATCGCCCGCAAAATAAACATTAATGGTGCAATTTTTTTTTATACTTAAATATTTCTAATATAGAAACTTTAGTAGAATGCAAAATGTAACCATGTCAGAGGAACGCGATTAGCACAATCTTATTTAAAACAAATTTTTAGATTTAATTGTTTTCAACTGTCGGCTCAATCGACAGAAACCGATAAAATCTTAAACATACCGTGGATGCAATCGATGTCATAACAACCTTAGATGTCTAAAAAGTCCTTGCCCGCAAGCTCGCTCTGATTTCAACTGACATCTGTGCCTGTTATGACATTGATTACATCGTAGATATGTTAATAGCTATTACGTTAAAAGTCCGGTAAATCCAATATTACAGTATAAATGAGATGTTTAAAGACGAGGAGTCAAAGAAGCCGAGTCCTGAACTTCTGAATATCAAAAAAAGTATTATAAGAGGCTTATCCAATGTTTATGGTAGATATTTGTCAAAAATCTAGTAGGTAAGTTTTGTTTGGTTAACGTTAACTGATAACGTAATAGCTTACTTTTCGGACTCAAAGTAAGACCGGAAAGATTTATTTACCGAACAACATAAAATAAAATTATCTAAGATACTCCCACTAAGTTTTCTGGTAAAAAGCAAACATGTTAAACATTACAAACTATTTCTAATGTATTGTTTCGAACGATGGGTGTATTGTTTGGGCCTTCAAGTTAGACTAAGTTTAAAAATCTGGTGTAAACATCACACGACTTTCCTTATCCAACGTATTTGGAAAACATCCTTACGAGAATAATTTAGTGTTGGAAATCCGAGTAGCAAACCTAACCTTTGCAAAATAGATCATAGTTGCCGCGGGTTTGAGTCTGAGGTGCAATTTTTTTTTAGTTCGGTACCCATTATTAATTTTATTTAATCACATTTTACTGTTTAATATAAGGCATATTTCATGATTCTAAAAAAAATTATCCGCATGAATTTATTTAATTGTATTTTAAACCGTATAATTTTGATTTTTGGACTTTGCGGCCGAACGATGCGACCGATTTGTTTGACCAATTGTTTCCTACAAGTAACTTACATGGCCATATTAAAATTTAAAGTTTCTAGTTCTTATGGTTCTCGAGATATGTTGTTTACAGACAGACAGATACATACACAAACACACACACACACACAACCCAATGGTATTTTGAAGCTATAATTCGTCCAGAAATGTTAAAATATAGGTAAATTGTGTTTCTATTAACCCGCCCAAAAACACCAAATACCTTCCACTATTTACTTATTTCAATCTATTATGCAACGTACTTCTTGTCAGTGGCTACAATTTATTATTTTCTCACAATTTGCAAGAATTAATTCTTCTATTACCTACCTGTAGACGCTTATACATCTTCTTAACATTTTTATAAATAATAGAGTAATAATTATAGTCTTGATACAACCTTAATTTTTTCCCTATCAATTTTAAATTTTGTTTCGAAAGCCTCTCACCCAAGGAGGTTAGATGGTCCATCTAACCTCCTTGCTCTGATCATATCTATAGACGAAAGAGTACGGCGGCACATTATGTTAGAATCAAATTTAAAAAAAAAAAAGGTTTTTATATTTTTTAACGATTTTTTTGCGTTTTACGTAAATTATTCTTTGTTGTAAAAAATAATACTCACTGAAAGTGTAATGCGTTGCGACCTTATCATCTCTATGTCCTGCTTTCTCGGCCTCCGCTTTTACCTCCGATGATTTTACCCTTTTCCACATTTCGAAAAGTATAACCGCACAAATTAAACTGTACTCTATGGTACACGGAAACAAAAAAGGACTCGCATTTCTGACAAGCGACCCCATGATTTGTCCCTCTTGACAAAACTTGGCTTGTAAACTCGAATTGGTGGAGTTCTGTCCATGCTCCCCCAGGTGTATAATCTCGTGTTTGGTCTCCTCGACAAGGACATACAACCATTCGCATAGATTCGCCGCCACCATGTGCATAAGTCCGAAGCGGGCAATAATCTTATGTCTGTTCAGATCGACGTTCTGATAACAATTCTGGGTAATAATCCTGCAATCTCGGAAATAGTGAAACAATTACCTTCGTGTTTAGGAATATGAATTGCACTTGAACGAGCGTCAGAAGCATTCTGGTTGCCGGCGTGATGGCCTGCAGCATGGTGGAAAAGCACTCCTGATTGTTCTTTAGTTCAAAATATCGGCCGAATTCCAGTCCGGAATAGACCATGCTGCCGATACCAAAAGCTGCAATAATGCGCTTTAATAAAGTCGATCAATGCAGTTAATTGCTTGTAATTGCCGTTTAAATTACGGCTTATTGACTGAGCGGATTACAGGGGATGGGCTTGCCGCTTGTTTATTTGAATAATTTAATTAAAAAACGCTCACCGATTGCACCAAGGCGTAAATAGAAGCTTCCGTATTTGGCCGGTTTGTTGTGCCCGGATGTGCACATGCGGGGAAAGGGGAACGATGGTTTGTCGTTTTTATCTAGAAATAATTTGTTTATGCAATTTTCGAGGAAAAAACAAAAATAATATAGCGTCAAAGGATTTATTACCTAATCAAATATTGCACATCAAAAATGCATGATTGGAACACAAATTAAATAAAAAATTAGTTTTAGAGTTTCCTGGTATAGTATCAAAAACAATAAAAGGCTAAATTATGTATCTCAAATTAGAAAAAATAATTAAAACTGAGTCCAGACTTTAAAACCCTTGCGGATAAGTGATTACATGATGTGAAACATGCGGAAAGTTAAACACACAATATAGAATAAAAATCAAACATCAGTTCACTTATTTTTTAATTTTCTAAATATTTCTATTTTCATATTTTTTGCAATAAAAAAATTAACCAAAATGTGAAATTTATGGGTAATACCTAAGAGTTGAAAACACTATACTAAATCATAGTTAATAACTTTTCGTGCGTACACGGATATTCGCACCTATAATTGCGGACACAGGATTTTAGATAACAAATTTATGTCAATTCAAAACATATTAATGTAAGCCGCTATAAATTGCAAAAATCGAAAGTAAGGCACATAAGACAATTTTTAAATTTTTACGTCAATAATGACAAATTGTCCAAAATTTCGTGTCCGGAACTGTACGTGCGTCGGGCTTCGCAACTGTCCCTGAAGAGGGTTTTGCCTTACTCTTACAGCCGACTAAAAAGCTAATATTTAGGACATACTTGATGTCACTGTGCTTACGTTTAAATATGTGTTTTTATTTCGGTTTCACCCTGTATATTTTATAAAACTTTGATATATCAAAATGTGTTATTTTAACCGTAGTTTATATAGTGGTTATAATCAGCTTAAAAATCTGACTTTTCAAAATATTAAAATTTTCTTAAAAAATTATACCTAGGTAAACATAATATGAGTAAGTATATTGACATTTACTTATTTCACTATTTCATTTTGTAAAAAAAGTACAAGCAAATATGAAACAGAAAAGATGTTTGCTATTTTCTATTAATATGTGTATATTTTATTTTATTAATAAATGCTGTATCAAGCCTCCCTAGTCAAATAGTGATTAGCATTGGAATATTTCAAACACAGCTGTATAAATTTCTAATTAACAAATCGATTCTGATTGAATTTGACAGTTTAGTGCAGAATTTAGCAAAACAATGTTGTAATCACTAAACATATTTATTAATGCACTCAAATTAAATTAAATTAAATTGAAACTTACGATATGACTTGATAATGTTATTAACCGCCTTCTCCCTCACAAAAGTCGCATACATGTATGCCACAAACGTTATACTTCCCAAATACAAATAGAGATAAAATCCCTGGTAGAAAAACGGCCGAACGTCCTTCGATATGATTTCAGTAATCGGAAAAGCCATTCCCAGGACGACCAGCAGCTTTGCGTACAGCGCCGAGAGAATTACCGTCAAAGCATCGCTGTTTAAACGAAAAACACAAAATAAAAACTTCACTCTTAAAACTCGCTCTTACTCTCCCATCCTGCGATTTTGCTTTTTTAGAAACTCCTCCTTGTGATCAGTGGGGTCTTTTTCCGAAATCGAGCGGTCGCTCTGGTTGTGAAAAAGCCCCAGAAAGTACCGTCGCTGGTTCATGACGGCGTGGGCCGCCGACAGGGCTATGGCCTGCGAGGGACGTCGGAGGGCTGCGATGATGGCAGAGGGCCTTCTTGACGACGACGTTGAGGCGTTTTCCTCGTCGAGAGTTTCCATAGCCAGGCTGTTTTGAGGCGCTTGGGGCGCAGGGCTGCAACTTTATTAATAAATCTTGACTCGATTTTTACTTACCTGTTTTCCTCGTGCACCGTGTCCATCTAATTACGGCTCCCTAGTGGCGTATAATCTCTCGGATTTAAAGTTGGAAAAGTCGTAGTTATTGTGGAAATAATTTAGAAAACATGCACCAATTTTAGATAAAAATAGTTGCAGCGAGGCTGAAAGATTTAGATAAGAAGAAATTTTTGCGTCTTGTGCTTCACACGGACGAATTATGACTATTGTTGGCTTAAACACTTTTGTTCAAACAATTTAATTAACAAAGATGTCGGCCTTGGAGCATCACGAAATTTCAAAGGTTTTGGGATGGAAATAGATAGATAGGTACATCAAGATTGAGAATGACGACTGGTTATAATTGGTAATTTTAATTGTCTGGACAGTGACGTTAGGCGAGATTTATTATCGTTGATCGACACGTTACAGTTAACTAAATTAATTATCAAAAAGTGTGTTTGTGATGGTACGTAACGTTGATTGTTAGTTTAGCCAGTTCACACCTTCTTCAAAATAAACACTTTAAATATCACAAACAAATAGTATTTATTTACTTTAAATGACATGTAAAAATCTTTCTTTAGGGTAAAACTTAGTAGTTTTAAATATATTCAATTCTTATAGTGAATAAATATATTTTATACACTCGGCTAAATAGCTGGTCAAGACAGGTCTGGTCAGGTCTGGTTTGGTCCACCAAACACAGTGACACTTCAGTTTTGTTTATTATATCAAAATATTGCCAAATTTATTTTATCTTTGTCTTTTTTCTGTACCTGCTTAGAGATATTTGACCTTACAGAAAAAACAGTTATGAATAATTAAGTTAAAAAAAAATGTATAAAATTTAAAGCTTATTCTCTTTATTGTTTGGTTAAATTATCTAAACTACAAACTCGATTTTTAAACTGTCTATAAACCTCTTGTTGTCTTAACAGCTACAAAATAAAATTTCTACATTGAGATTAAGATTTGTATTTGTGCACAAATCGTTTACAAAAAAGCTGATCTACAACTTCACATTTAGATACAAAACGTTAAAATTTTAGTTTGAAAGATAGAAAATTAGAAAATATTGTTGCCACCTTTAATACATATTCAAATTATTCGAATTTATGTAATAATTTAAAATTACAAAGTCTCAAAATTGTTAAAATAGTAAATTCTTATTTAGTATTCTTCTATTTCTTTTACAAAAATAATTTTTTATTTCTAATTCTGTGTGTAAATTTTGCGTTTCCAGCACCCAAATGACGTCATTTGAGTACTTTAATAAGTCGTTGGCGTTAATTAATTTTAGTGACGGACTTTTTTCACAATTCATATTCAAATGTGAAAATAAGAATAATTTTTATTTTTCACAGCCGCCTAAAATTAGTCCACATAAATGTCGCCAACAGTCGCAAAATTCTCTAGAAAAAAAATAAAATTTTCGTCTTTTAATTTATAAAATGATAGAAAGCAAAATAGAAAAAAATTGTATAAAGCACTTGTTGCAGAAGGTTCTCCAAACACTCATTTGTTCCTCAACTCGCCGCTACGCGGCTCGTTCTGGAATTTCAAATTTATGCTTGAATTCTGTAACTTGTACTTTAATATACTATTCTTAAACTTTCATTAATATGTAGGTACTAACGTTACGTTAAAATTTTCTTGTTTTTGAACATTTTAATAGAACTCTTTATCCATAGATAATGAAAATTTTACTTGTTGCGTTAGACATTTTGTTTCCTAACAAGTGTAATCTAGGCGTATTCAGATGCAAAGTGGGTTTGAAAACTCGTTCGTTTTTACGTTTTGTGAGCATTTCTTTGAAATAATTGCTTGGGTATCTAATTATAGTAAGACCTCGGTCGCACAAAGTTTTGTAAATCCCTTCCGGTCGTTAATAAAAATGATTGTTATAGTAAATCAAATTGTGTAGCTGAGTTAATTTCAGAGCGAATGAAGACAGTTCAAAAGCCAGTGTTAGAGAAAAGAAACAAAAGAGCGGCTCTCGAGTACAATGGCTGCTCTGAAATAAAAGTAAACTGAAGTGGACAGTGTGGGAGAGGCAACTCGCCTAGGGGGCGCCATTATAGAACGCAATCAGGGCTCCGGTGCAGTCACCCGGCAAAAAGACCAAACTTGGAAATCTCATTCGGTTTTCGCTTGTCACTCTTCACACCGCATTTATGTTCTAGCATGTTTACTTCTTACGCAATTATCTTTACAACAGAAACAATTTCGTTCGACGGGTCTTTTGACCAAAAAATCGCCCCCGTTTTACACGCACGACCGATTACGAAATCTCACCGCCACATTAAATGCCGGAGTTCTGATTTCATAACTCCGTGATCACAGCAATGTAAATGTTGCACTACTTTGATTAATTATTATTAAAAGCGCGGATGGGTGACACACATGAGCGCCTCCACATTCAAATGAAACGGGAGCTAGAGCACATCCGACTCAGTTGTTGTGTTTAACTTTGACACAATTAGCTACCTGGATGAACCATGAGTTGTAAGACGGCTCAAGAAAAGCCGAGCTTTGAAGGGGATATTAAAGCTCATCGATAGTAAAATAATTTACCCATGATGAAGCAGAGGGTTGTTCCGTTTTCTCCTACTCAAGATGTATGTCATACATACAAGGATGGGCATTAGTGTAAAGTATTTATGTAATACAGAGTGAGTCATTTGTAATAAAGACCCTAACTGATTTTTAAACGCAACCCAAAATACATTTTCACAGATAACTTGACTATTGTAATGTTTCAGATTTCAGATTATTAAATTTAAATCAAAGTAGTTGTTGATATGTTCTTTTTTAAATTTGACAGTGTCATCAAGCCTACTTTTTTTTTCTTGAACTCAAAATGTACTGAATGAAATGTGGTTTAATTATTTCCTTGAGTTTTTTGGCGAGCAAATCAGCTAAACATAAATTATTTTTAGTTTTGAAAAATCAAGTATTCTTAAACTATTTTCAAAAATACCAATTTTTGTTATTATGTTACAAATACGAGAAACATTTTATAAAGAAAAGTTGTTTAGAATTAACATCTAAGCCCGTATACTTACATACCAAATTTTAAAATCATCGACTAACTAAGATATTTCATGTTTATTAAAGATAGCTTTTTTGTAACAGAAAAGTTACTTAAAAAAGTTGATAAGTAAACTCAGAATCTTAGCTCAAATTAGCATTTTTAGCATTTTTTCGACGCCAATCGATTTCTCGGAACACTTTACATATGTATAGGTATACATATAAAAACATTATAACGTTTGAGGTACAGGGAAAAATTTGTGAATTTTAGTGAAATTATAACAACATTAAAATTATGTACAAAATTCGAATGTTTAATTTAGTTGTTTCTTGTTTCTAAAATATAATTTTAGATCTATTACCACAACAAAATAATTTTGCCTGATGTTGTTCTGGGAGGGTTTTAACCCCCAAAACTTTCCCCTGCTGGCCACTGAAACGCTAACTCAATACATATCTAAAGTCTTTACTGAAATTAATTTGTAGATATGAAAATGTTAATTCAAAAGTCTCAAAAGCAGGTAAAGTAAAAAAGGACAGACTTGTGGATTCTCCTGATGTTCGGCATAATTAGCAACCTTTATATTACTTTTTATTATTATTTTATTAATTAAATAATACCAAGATTACCATTATGTTGACCAAGCTCGGTATAACTTGCTTTTTTTAAAGTAGGGTCAAGTGGGTCAAATACGAATGTCATAACTAAATTTGTGAATTCAGTTTCATACGGTTCTTTCAATATTTAGTTTAAAGTATTTACATTTATAAAGCTTATTACTCATATATTAGGCTATTATATTAAGTATTTAGTAATAGGAAAAAAATATAAAAAAAGAAGGGCCCAAATGAAGCACCATGTCTGATTATTACATTTACCCCGTGTAAAGGGCAAATGCAATAATCATATCGCATTTAGTAACAGTGTCTTTAGTTTGGATTCTGGGGTAATACAAATAAAAATAAACTAAAAAAAAGTTCTTATTTTAGAGAGATCACGTAGTCACAACCAAAGTTAGAAACTTTTCAAAAAATAACATTTTACTTATGCTAATTTTTCTAAGTGTACTAAATAAGAAATAATCATGTTTCGGAAATTAAAATCGAAAGTTATTATTCCACCTCTGGTAACTTCTGGACTGGATAGAATATGAACAATAAATGTAATAATCCTATATTACATTTGTTCCAGGGAAAAAAATTCAGGGGCAAATGCAATAACGAATGTAGGATATAAACGGTAGCAAACATACTAAAAATATATGAATAAAGACCCTCACAACATGACACCTCACTCATTTGTCTGTCGGTAAAACAGTATCAGCAACTGGTTAGCCTAAAGTTGATGAAATAAAGGTGTGATATCAGAGATATAGATATAGACATATAGCTTTAGTAAGTTATTCCATTTGGCCCGTTATTGCAATTGCCCCATCTGACCCTATCTTCTGTATTAATGTTTTGCAAAATTTTCAGATTATCGCTGAAAAAAAATATTTAACGGCTACAATTGACGCTCGTGATATTCTTTTGCCATTCTCTGCTTATAAGTTAAGACTCACCCTGTATATGACTCTCCCGGTATATAAGAGGTTCCACTATTCTCTGTGTCAAATTGTTTATTTAAATACATAATAACACATTTTTTCCACATTTAAATTTGTAGAAAGTCAAAATAAAGTTTTATTTTATATCTTTTATTCAATTTTGTGCTATTTACCTTTGGTTCCGTGTGCTATTGTTTGAAATTCTGGTGATGATTAAATTTGGCCAAGATGCATCGAATGCTTCTCCTCTATCTGGCTTCGAAACGTCGTTAGGTTTTCGCTGATGGTTAAAAAGCGAAGTGCATTTGACAAGAGGAAATGCAATATGAAATCAGTAAAAGGCATAGTCTAGGTGAGTGGAAGGAGTAAGAATAAATTTGCTCTTGATAAAGGTCGCATCGCGCTCGCATTCACCGTGCACTAAGTAAATAATAAAAATCGGATTTAAAATCGGGGCGAAATATTTACTCCATAATAATATTTATCGAGAGGCGGAGCGAAATTAGACAACATTTCTTTTGATTAGAGTGCACGAGCGCTGATCCTGCGATAATCCGATTCCGGGCGTTCATATTCAGCGAATGAAGTCTCACCTGGACTGCGATCTTATTTCCGCACAATCGGGAGTGCATTCGCAATTTCAAAAGCCGCTTTTCTACTAGGGGTAATTGCAAACCGATAGGGCGGTATGAATCAATTACATCTGACGCTAGTTTTTGTTATTTATGGATACGGAATCGGGCAAATCTGTTCCTTAGGTAAAAGCTGGTCTCAGGTGACATAAGTTCGTGTAACGCGGATTTATTGCCGGGATGTGAAGGAACAGCCGACACCGACACAACACCGAAAGAGATAGTTTCTTTTAATTCAGATTCATGTCCGAGACGAAAATGTACCAATCGATAAAGAAACCAACAATCCCCATGGCAATTCCTTATTCACAAACGGATTTTTAAAATCTATTAAAATTATACATTTTTATTTAAAAACGATTTTCCAGTCTGCATTACTTTTTGTTTTATCTGTAAAATTTGCGTAGGTAGCAGTGGCGTAACTATAAAATTTGAGCCCCCCCGCGAAAGACGACTGTGGGGCCCCTCTCTTCTCCGGAGTTAAATAGAGTAAAAGAGCAGTTATGTCTCTAGTAGTCTCTAGTATTAAAAATTCTGCAAATACGAATACGAATATACAAATTTTTCACAAGTGATGCCAAACGACGAACTTCTTCTTTTCTTATTCTTTTCGTATTCTTTAAGCACTACCATTAAGTGCTTTTGCTTTTTTCATATTTTTTTAGATTAATTTTGACGTCATAAAAATACATGTTTACTCTTGTCATGTTTATGTCATTTTGACTAATTTTCAAAAACAYTGATTTGTGGCATAATAACGGGTAGGCAGCCGATCAAAATGATGATTTTTTTTTTCGGCAATCTGTCTCTGCGACATTCCTTTTTCAGTGAATGTTATCACCCTTACTTTATTGAAAAGAGTAACTCTATTTTTGGTTTTGCGAAAAATTCAAACTGACTGCGTCACCGACAGAAAAGTTTATAATTGTCAATGAACATTTTACAGTGACAGGAAAATACTACCCGAAATTTTAATTTCGCACTGTATAAAAGATAAGACTTACTGACTTACTTAAAATCTTAAACAAGTAGTTTTCACAGATTAGGGGAGAGTCGGGTATTGGTGCGCACCTAAGCTAAAATTGTAATATTTCTGCAATAATAAAAGATTGGATTTCTAGGTTTGTCGTCAAGATTCTTCAAGAGTTTGGCAGTACAGTTCTGTAGTACCTTTTACATAAAAATGCACATTGTGACTTTAAAATACGAAATGTTAAAAAACGACACTGCGCATCATTGCCTGATGTATGCGGTTAATGGTGCGCATTAAAAACGGAAACAAATAACTCAATTTATTGAACGTAAAAATATGCTTATTTATCTAAAAATGCAAAAATACTTTGACCTATGATAAAAAAACGAAATATATAAGATATATAATAAAATGAAAATAAATGCTAAGTACATCGCGGTTAATTGTGCGCACTTGAAGCTAATCGTGCCTCGTGCGCCCGATTAACCGAAAGTGGAAGACTCACTTTTAAATTCTATAAAACAATAAAAAACTTTTTTTCTGTCTAAAACATATATCAGTGTTAAAGAGATTCATTAAGCAATGTATTAACGTGTACAATTATTAAAATATGTAAAAATGGAAATACTTACTTATTTTCTGCAAGATACCTGTTAGAACACAACATCCGAAAACAAAGAAGCGGCAATTTTAGATAAGTAGGATCAAGCGATGTACCTGACTAATATGTGAAATTATATAGGTTTGTCAAGAGATAGCTCCTGGATAAGGAATTCGAAATTATATCAGTGGTTGCGAAAATAAGGGCATGCGCACGATTACCCGTTGCGCACAATTACCCGACTCTCCCCTACATCACGATCAGAAGTGCTTGTTCGAACTTAAAATTGACGCGGAAAATAGCATTATTAACAGCTGATAATATGGTGCGAAATGAAATAAATTATAACACAAAACAATTTCTTTCCAGTTCCTCGAAATGTTTTGTCTTCCTCAGCGTTCGGCCTCGGCGTATCGCGCCTGGCTCGACACTGAAAACGCTCGAAGAAAAGAAAATTCTGCAGTTTTTTATTTTTTATTGCATTGGCCTATAATAATTCATGTACTCGCTCTAAATTTTTTTAAACTATTACTATTATTATTATTATTTTTAATTTGGAAAGGGCCTTTTATCCCAAGGGCCCCCCCGCGACCGCGGGCTTTGGCGGGTGGGTAGTTACGCCACTGGTAGTTTTAGCAAATTTGCAACTACAAAATAAGATTGTCTTTTGTTAATAAAAAATAGATGAAAAACCTGAGATTGCACTTTTGCGTTGTAATACACTGGAAGACATTGAATTCTGGACGACTTGTCATTCGACTGTCATAAAAATGTAAAACAGACCTTATGCCACTTATGCAACTAACCTCACGTTCGGTTTTTATAATTTTTATCCTGACGGCTAGAAAAAAAAATAACAACAGATCAAAATAATTTATTGAACTTATATAAAAATGTATGGCATTATTGTTTCGGAAAATCGACCCTAAAAATGAATTTCAACTAAAACTTCAAAATTTTAGTTTGAAATGTCAATCATAATGACAATAAAGCTTACATTGACATTTTTTGAAATGACATAAATTTGATGTCCGAAATTCCGTGTCGGTCACTGTACTTTCTCTAACAAAGCATAATTAAACTGAATTTCTAATTAAACACAAATAAAAGCTTCTTATGATTAAATGTTTTTTTTTTTTAAAGATTGCATTTAAAACATAGCATTTGTATAAAATAAAAATTAAAAATTTAATTTAAAATAAATAATAATTGTTTTATTTATTAATTACCTTTACAACTCCTTTAACTTCTTGTACTCTCTTTACTGTAATTTTTTTTTACTTATTCAATACCCTAGCGGAGACGGAATCTTGCACAATTTGACATTCGACTGACATAAAAATGTAAAATCGGTTTTACGATTTTTATCTTCATAGCTAGAAAAAAATAACAACTAATCAAAATAATTTTTTGAACATTATTGTTTCGGAAAATCGACGCCCGCCAAAAATAAATTTCAATTAAAACTTTCAAATTTTAGTTTCAAACATCAGTCGTAATAACAATAAAGCGGGGCTTACATTGCCATTTTTTGAAGTGATATTTTGGACATCGAATTGGACAAACTGACATTGATTTGAACATCAAATCGTATCCGTCAGTGTATTATGCAACCAATAATTTTGAAAAAGTAGAAGCCTGTATTGCCGGCTTTGAGCGACCTCTTTCCCATCTCAACGAAACAATTAAAAATCTTCCAAATCATCGCAACATAACCCCAGTTCTTTGTAATTTGCATATTTTTGGTAACAATGGAAGTGATGGACGTTGTAGTGCCCGAAAAGGTAATAATTTCCCATTTTTAGCTTTAACAATTTTCTCAAATTAACAATCAAGTGCCATAATGTCATTGATCGTCTTTTGTTTCCCCGTTAACCTCAAAATCGCCCCAAAATTCGTCAAAATGCACCCTTTTCAGGATGAAGGGAGCCCTGCTGAAATTAAACCCAATCTCCAAGACTGCGACATGGAAGATCTCTACACCAAATACAAGAAATTGCAACAAATGCTCGAATTCCTTGAAGTGCAAGAAGAGTACATCAAAGACGAGCAACGCAACTTGAAGAAGGAGTATCTTCACGCCCAGGAGGAAGTCAAGAGGATCCAATCGGTGCCGCTGGTTATTGGCCAGTTTCTTGAAGCTGTTGATCAAAATACCGGGATTGTGGGGTCAACCACTGGGTCAAATTACTACGTCCGGATTTTGTCAACGATTGATCGCGAATTGCTCAAACCGTCGGCTAGTGTGGCCTTGCATAAGCATAGTAACGCCCTTGTGGATGTTCTTCCGCCTGAAGCGGATTCATCCATCAGTATGCTGCAAGCTGATGAGAAGCCTGATGTTCAATACAGCGATATTGGAGGTATGGATATGCAAAAACAGGAGATCCGCGAAGCCGTGGAGTTGCCTCTTACTCATTTCGAGCTGTATAAACAAATCGGGATAGACCCTCCACGTGGTGTTTTGATGTACGGGCCCCCAGGCTGTGGCAAGACAATGTTAGCCAAAGCTGTGGCGCATCACACCACTGCTGCGTTTATCAGAGTCGTGGGGTCAGAGTTTGTCCAGAAGTACCTAGGGGAGGGACCTAGAATGGTGCGAGACGTGTTCCGATTGGCCAAGGAGAATTCGCCCGCTATTATTTTCATTGATGAAATTGATGCCATTGCTACTAAGAGATTTGATGCCCAGACGGGGGCCGACAGAGAGGTACAGAGGATTCTCTTGGAGTTGCTCAACCAAATGGATGGCTTTGATCAAACTACCAACGTTAAAGTATGGAAAATTACCAAATCAATTTGTAACTATTGTTGAGGTTTGCAGGTGATTATGGCCACTAATAGGGCCGATACTCTCGATCCGGCTCTGCTCCGACCTGGCCGTTTGGACCGGAAAATTGAATTCCCATTGCCCGACAGGAGACAAAAAAGATTAATCTTTAGCACAATCACGTCGAAGATGAATTTATCGGAAGAGGTGTGTCGAATTAAAGCCATGCCCAAAAGCAGATTAACAAATAATAATTGCAGGTCGACTTGGAGGATTTCGTTGCCCGACCTGACCGTATTTCAGGTGCTGATATCAATGCCATTTGTCAAGAAGCCGGAATGCATGCCGTGAGGGAAAATCGCTACATCGTATTGCCGAAAGACTTCGAAAAAGGTTACAAAAATAATATTAAGAAGGATGAAAGCGAACACGAATTTTATAAATAAATTATTTAAGGTCGTTTTACTTATTTAATTTTGTATGTGTAATTAATGTCTGAATTAAAATAGTAATTACCGATTTGAATATTCTTATTTATCATTTCCTAATGCATTTTATTTTCGTTAAAAAATGCAGATGAAAATGTAAAAAATAATAAACAGATGTTTGATGTTACGTAATAAACTTTATTAAAATCGATACATATTTGATTACCTTTCTAAAGGCATAAATTTTAAATATTTATAAATAAATAAAAAGGCACAATCTCTACAATCATATAAATAAATCTTTATATCCCTGTCCATTTCTTGATAGAAAAATAAAGTATCACATTCCAAGCATCACGTCTGTTGTACCTTACAATTCCATAATTTGATAAGAAACAAAAATCGATTAACAATTGGTCAATCACGTGGTAATTTTTTTATAAAATTTATTCATAAATGATAAAACGTGGATAATTTGTTTTTCATCTTAAAAACTACATCTATAAGGCTTAGATTGTTAAAATATTATATTTGGTCGCTTTAGTTGGACAATTATGAACTGAAAAAATTGAGAAAAAAACAATCGAATACTGACGCTGAAATTTGAGACTAGTTCATAATTGTACAAAATGACTAAGGAAGTATTATTTCTTACAACTAGAATGAATATTAGTGCAAGATAATAATCTCTAACTCAAAAAAAAACAAAGATCTAACGGTCAGATCATACAACATAACATGAAATCTCTTTAAAATTATTGCGCTTATTAAAATCTACGAATAACATAAACATACTAAATAAAATTATAACGTGATAACGATTTTGGTTCTAAATGATTAGAAAATGGCTAACACATAACAACAAACATAACGACTATATTACAAAAAAAAAAACTTAACATAGGTAGCCTTCAAAAAATACACAGTTATCACAATTCTAATACTTGGAAATAAGGCTTTTGAAAATGCTCGCCGAATAGAAATGTGACTTTCTGTTTACATTTTGAATTACGTTAGAGGCACATGCATCTAAAATACCCGATAAAGTATATGGAATAGCCATAATTATTGCGAAAATCAAATTCTTAAGCCTTCAAAACCGCCGGCTCCGAATTAATCTTCTCAGTGTTGGCCGCCACCTCCGCCAACGTCGTCAACGCCAACAAATCGCCCCCAACGGACTCCTCCTTCAAGTGCGTGATACTCTGTTTGTTTTTCCGCTTCTTCGACCCCACGGGCGGCTCCTCTTTTACCACTTTGGCCACTTTGCTCTTGGACTCGCTGTCGGTCCTTATCCGATTCTTACGCTTTTTGCTGTCCTTTTTCCTCTGGTGGAACACGTCGTAACTCAGACTCGGCAAATTGCTGATACGTTGGTTAAGGTTAAACTTCGTTTCGTGGTTTTCGGAGGTGGTGCGAACGCGACCTTCGCTCTTTTGGTTCGACGGTTCGAGGACGCTTCGCATGTTGGTCCGCTCAGCTAGACGTTTGATGGTGTGATCTAGGTTTGGTGTTTCCGGTTCCGGTTTGTCCAGCTTAAAGGTGAACTCGTTCTCGATCGAGCTGCGCTGGAAACTGAGTTTGACGTCCCGTTTGTTGCCCAAAAGGCGGCCCTCTACCATGAACTTCTCGTAGCGTTTACCCTTGCATTGGCGGCCGGACTTTCGAACCTTTGAAACATCAAAAATCAATTAACAAGAAAAGTGTCCATCCCATGAACAGCTGTCCACCAATTACCATTAGCTGTGTAAAGAACGGAATGTAACAAGATTCGCAAAAAGTCTTTAATAACTCAAAATATCCCTATTTTACCGGGTGTCTAAAATAAAACAAATCCTGTTAAAAATCTTCACATACAGGGTGCGCCAGAACTCGCGCCCCAGAGAAAAATGCAGGAACATGAAAAAAATGTTAAAAAAATTTTGTCTACAAAAATTTCGATGTTATGAGTGTTTAAATTTTGCACTTTGACTCTATTTATTTAATTTTTTTTTAATTTAATTTTCCAATTCTTTTTCCTACAGGCTATTAAAAGAGGAAACAAAAAAGCTGTATCCTAAATTGTAATTCTGCTCAATGTTATTTGGACTTTTATTGGCAAAATTTTTGTACTTTCACTAGATAATTGTAAAAAACATACACAAGATTATCAGTATCATTAAATAGACATAAAAAAATGCCAAATGTCAAAAAATAAATGTCAAAATTTTTTGACAGGTAGAATTTTTTAAACATTTTTTCCATGTTTCTACTATCTTATCTTACTTATTTTTTTTCTGAGGCGCGAATTCTGGCGCACCTGTATATCTCTATTCTTTTATTCTAAAGTTTTACTAGAAAACACAATTATTTCAGAAAACATAAATGAGAATTAAAAAACAAAGGTTCGTAGAAATTTTGTTCTATTTTTTAAATTTTAGTCTGATTCATGTTTACGTATTTATATTTTGCATATTACGAATATTTTATTTGTATTAAGACTAAACAACTGGCATTAAGTAGTAAAAATAGAGATAAAAAATATGATAAAACGTGTACATACCTTGTTTATTTCGGATTTGGCCGATAACAGATATTTTTACGGAAACAAAAGCCTACTATTTATATTTATTTATCCATTTTACTGTCTTTTTTCGCATCAAGCAGGTTAAAACAAAAAATATTTGGGGTCCCCAATTACCTCTTTTCTGTCGAAATCCTCCGGTTTGGTGAAAATCTTGTCGACCACCTTGTCCATCAGATCCTGGTTTGTCATGTTCCCATCCTGTCCATCCGATATGTCGTTTTCGATATTCCGGACGACGTTCTTATTGTCAGTACATTTCTCAAACGTCCGTTTCTTGAAAGGTTTAAGAGGTAGAGCAGTTTTAATAAAATTGACTGGGCTTTTTGGCGCATCCTCGTAATCGTGATCACCATTTTTCTCAATATTATTGTTATTATTCTCGTTTGATTTGACATTCGGCGTAAAATTGTTCATCAACGACGTTAGACTCCCCAATTGCGACTCGTCGGCTAGTTTTCCGGGAGTAAATTCGGACTCGGTCACGTGTTGTGGACTAGAAACCGGCGATTGGACTTTGTGAACCGAAGGCCGAACATTCAACGTCCGGAGCGGCGGAGCCGGAAGTTTGTACCATTTAAAGTCCGGATTGGCGGTCAAAAACGCATCTTTGTACTAAAAATAACACAAGTTAGAAGTCAAAAATTTCATAAAAAATTATGTATGCACCTCTTTGGCTAGGCCTGTGTAGGGGGCCTTATCGTCGCTATCTAGCAGTGCCCACCACTCCCCGAGAATCCTAGTAACTCCTCGATTTTCCAAATTCGGGAATCGTTCCCTGACGATGGGTCGGTGCTTTTTACAAAAAATCAAGAAGGCGTTCATGGGTCGTCTCGCGTGGTGGGACGGCGACGTGGCCACTTCCTCTTCTTTTTCTTTCGGTTCTTCCTCTTCCGGTTCATCTTCAACTTTCACTTCTTCTTCTTTCTCTTCACACGGAAGGTCCTCATGAGTCGCCCATGTTTTATTGTAATTACCAACGCTCGCGGTAATGTTACTCGTGTCGAATTTATATTTCGACCACACTTCTTCAATCGTTTTATCGCCGTTGGTCGTGATTTGATTATTGTTTTCGGTAACTTGGTTGTAAAAAGTGTGAGGCGCTGCCTCGGGTAAAAAATTCGTATGAGGTTTGACGTAAACGTTATTCATTGTTAAGTAATTCATTTTTGCGTTTAGTGACTTTCCATCTGAAAATATAAAGAACTGATAAAGGTGACGAACGAGGAAAGTATCCGAAATGCGTCCAGAAGGTAGATAAGAACGGCTCAACCGATAATACTACAGCTGTACAAACATATTTAATTACCTAACGAACAAAGAGGACTATTGCACCCAGAGGCATTGTAATTATCGATCAGTAGTTGGTCAAACTGTTCTTGTCATAAAGCTATAGGTCAAAAATTTATACAACACAACCCGCCTCTAGGAACCAGTTTTTTTAACCGAAAATAAAGCAAATTGGCACTTTTTAATTTTATTTTTTTACGTTCTTTACTACACTTTACTACAATGAAATAAGAAAAGATATTTAGGAACATTCTATTTAAAAATTATTCCAAAAATTTAGCAAATACCAACCTGACAAAAAATGCAATTCTAGAGCATACATCATTATTGTTGACATTCATTTACCTTGGAACCAGTTTTGCAAACTAAAGCAAATTTTCACTTTTTATCATCGCTTTTATTTCTTATTGTTTTCGTTCATAACTGTTACGAAATGAGAGCATAAAGATGCATTTTGCTACCAACTTAAATAATTAACAAATATTTAACACCTTGTGCAGCAACCTTGAGCGAAACCTTCTTGATTTATTTAAAATTTTTGCAAGATTTAAAAATCCTCCCAATTCGGGGTGCTAAAAAGGGCGACCTTGTTGTTATATTAAAAAAAATACAAAAATGCACGTCTATAAATTACTTCCGGCTGTTGAGGGTATTTCAGGGCATCCAACCGCACGATTGGCTATCGTGATAAACGAGTTCCTTTTTGATAAGATCCCGTCCCTCCTTTTGAAAACAAATGAAATCTCTATAACTACTTAATTTTATGGCGGGTGTTTGTTAAAAAACAAAACACCATCAAGATATAAGGAGGTGGCCGATTTTCAGTTGGAAGTTTGCACGTTATTATTGTAAACAAAAAAAGCAACGCCAAGGTCGCTCGATTGATAGGCGAGCAATAAACCAACAGGTGAAGAGGGGCGGTCTAAGAAACAAACGAAAGAGCAAGTAAGACCTTGGCCTTCATCTAGCGGCTCGGTCCAGAAATCGCGATTCGCGAGGTCACGCCTAGAAACCCAAAAGGTACTTATTTCGAGATGGAATGGAATTTATAGGTATTTATTATAAACATGTTTTATGGGGAGTCACGTGGGCCACCTCCCCTACCGACACCATTACGCCAAAAAGCGGCCATCTTTACGCTGAAAAAATGTGTTTGGTGACGTCACGCGTCCTGTAAAAAATTTCTTTATTTTCTGTAATTTTTCGGGATTGGTGGTGGGGGTATTTAGCGGTGACATTGTTTGCATGGGACAATTTGATTGATAGAAATTCTTGTTAAAAAAATTGTGTAATATGGCGGGCGAGTTATTTAATACTTGAAATTCGATTTGATCACTTTCAATGTCATAAAAACAAGAAGAGAATACTCACGAAATATTTTCAAGCGCGATTGCGAAACACCTCGTCCTACTTATACACTTTCCCAATAAAATCGTCGAGCAGATGTCCGATTTCAGGTGAATTTAGGAAAATTCAGCAAAAACGTGAATTACACTGCACCCACATCGTCTTTCAGCGTAATATTTAATTGAAGCGACTTGGGATAGGCTTTATTTTAAAGGCAAAATCGCCCAAGGACGCAATACGAATTAGCTCGACGACGGATTGAAACGCGATTTTTTCAATTAAACACCGCTCCTCGGCCGTTAGTTTTACACAAAAGGGGCCTCGGACGCCATAATCTGTCTTTATTCACCCCCAAACGCCACCAAAACAACCCCAAAACAAAGAAATTCGGATATTTACCTTAATCTAGCACTCCATGAAAACGCAATCACATGACGTCACGCACCAGTTTGAGATTATACGGGAAAATGACAGTACACTGTGAAACAAACAAAAGAAAAACAACCCCGGACTGGTCACATATAGCTAGATGACACCCACTTATTACGTTTCTGTCATAGTAAAAACAATGGAGAAAACTCGACGCCTGCTGCGATTTGCAAGATGTCCGTAATGTTTAGTTTGTCAGTTGTCAGCTGTTCCCCACTTTATCCCCACCACACATGACAATGAATTTCATTCGCGAATTTTTTCCCCTTTGTGTATGAAAATTCGGCCTGGTGACACAGTTTTCCAAACGAAACTACCCCCGAAAAACAACCGAATTTTTCGCAACTCCATCCCCTAAATGATGATAAACAATAATCAATTGTTTCAATCATGTGGGCGTGTCAATATTTGACAGTCATCTGTTTTGTATACTTGTTGTGTTTATTCCACACATAAAAACCAAGGCCGCCTAAATAAACGTTGTTATTTTTGCTAATGATTTTTATTAAACGAGATGAAATAAACCTACATAGAACGACTTAAAACTAACTTCTCATTACAAGTATCAAAAAAATTACAAAACTCCGAGACAGAATTGAACACTTGAAGGTTTGTATCACTTATCCTTATGGTTACGATTGGCTGATTGAAAAAAAAAAACAAAAAACTGCACTATCACTACCAATCAAACAATGAAAATCCCTGCGATATTCGAGCTAAAGCCCCCTCACTAGTGTTGGCGATCATTATAGCCCCTTTCCTCCATTCCGTCACTCTCGGTCACTAACGCTCTTTCCAAAATAACCCTTCCTTCCTTATATCTCTGGTTTTCCTCAGTTGCGAACTCATACATCCACCCTAACTTCGCCTCGCAAAACTTGCACGAAACGTCCCTCACCTGAAACAAACCATAAATGGCCTAACCATCCTTGAGGTTGATGGTGGTTACCATATGGCGACCTGTCAACATGACCCTGTCTTGGACTTCACTATACGTCAAATTTACCACTTTGCTGAAGAGGAAGGCACGACCTGTGGCCCCTGTGAATCGGGTACTTATCAATTCAGAGCGATTTGTTAGGTTCGTATCGCATCTGGCGCAGGAAAAGAGACGAGTGCCTCCCATATGTTCGAGAAAAATGCGCCCCATTGTTGTCTACGCACTAAGGAAAGACAATGACCTGGACTGGGTGAACAAAAAAATTTTACTCACCGTTTTAAATTGACCGAAATGAATTATTAAAATGTTGTGGGCTTGAAACAAAGAGGGTTTGTAACGGATTTTGAAATAATTAAAGGGAATTGTAACGAGAATTTTGATAAACAAACGTCAGCTGACTTTCACAAAATGTCATAATACGAATGAAGTTGGCATGAAATTGACATAAATCGGAAATTTAAAATTGCATTGACTTTTATATGACATGGAAGCGAAAAAATATGTAAAGGCAAGAACAACTAAGACTCCTCAAAGATGATTCTTTATTATACAAATTTTGCAAATTATTTGTTCCTAACTTCGCTCCATTGACATAACCCTACTTATTCAAAAATGGGGCCGCAAGAAAATCGAGCAATAATTTTAAGTGATTGTGGCACCGTTTTAAGTGCACTAAGTTACAAAGACGTCCATTCATTCCGTAATTTGATAACTCAGTTTATATCCGTGCAAGTTACAGAAAAATACCAATGTATAGGACTTGTAATGAATCACAATATTTACATTCCTTCTATTATTTTAAGGTGGGTATTGCATTCAATTCTTGGTATAAAATCCAATCAGCAATCAGTTTACAGGAATTACATCATTGCTTTATTTTTCTTCCTGACGAAACTGAATCACAATCAATTATCACAAATTTGGGGCTTCTTTGGTCGTTATCTTTCATTTCCGGAAAAAATACCGTTGCGACTTTATTATTAAACGAGCAAAAACTCGTCTTAAATAAGCACGAAGTGACTCGCGTAACAAGTTACCCCAATATATTTTACATAATTCAAACATCAGGTAGTACAGGTGTGAGCAAGTTTGTGAGAGTTACTCATCAAAGTATTGAGAGTAACGTCAAACATTTGAGTAAAATATTTAAAATTCAACCTTGCAATACGATTTATTTCGGTACTCCTCTCACTTTTGACCCCTCAATGATTGAGTTGTTACTGGCACTTGAAAATGGGGCTTGTCTCTTAATAACACCCTCTAAGAATCAGATCAATCCGGTGCGCCTCCACCAAACGTTGATTCACCCCGAAAACGGGGCCACTTTTCTCCAAATCGTCCCATCTTTATTTCTACGTTGGTCAGAGATACAAATTGAGGATATTCTTCTAAATTCAAAATTAAAAATTCTAGCTTTTGGGGGCGAACCGTTCCCTCGGGCTCTCCTCAAGTTTAAAAAGTCGAATTTTTTGAGAATTTTTAATTTATACGGAGTCACTGAAGTATCATGTTGGGCAACTGTTTGTGAAGTCGCGGAAAGTTTAGGGGAAGTACCGCTGGGGGATGAATTAGACGAAACCATTGTTGAGGTAAGGGATGATTCTGGGAGGCTTGTAGAAAGTGGTGAAGGAGAAATTTTTATCGGGAGTTCTACTCGAATTTGTTATGTTGATGATGAGAAAATTCATCATAAAACTCCAGTTTTTCGAGCTACTGGTGACCTTGCGTTTATTTGTGATAAGAAAGTTTATTACAAAGGGCGCCAAAACGATGTTTTTAAGCGCTTGGGTCATAAGATACAATTATGTAAAATTGAAACAATTGTATTAGAACAAACAGGGATACAAAACGTTTGTGTGTGGTCAAAAACTCGAACAAAGCTTCTACTTTTTTTGATAATCGAAAGCTTCGATAATAATACCAAAAATAAAGTGTTAGATAAGGTCAGGATTAAACTTTTACACACTTTATCGAAACAATGCTTCCCTGATTTTATTGACATCATTCGAAAATGCCCTATCACCTCTCATGGGAAAATTGATAAAAACACTCTCGAATCGATTTATTTAAACCGAAATCAAGCTGATAAGAGACAAGTTGTTGACATTTTCAAAACACTAGTTTACAAATATTTTGGTTTGCGAAATTTTGGAGAAAGCACATTTTTCGAGCTTGGGGGCAACTCGATTCTCGCAGTCCAATTTTTGAGCGAATTCGAGGATGAATCAGGGTCGGCATGCCCCGACTTAGTGAGTCATTTGTTTGAAAGTGATTTAAACACCTGTGTTGAGATTTTACGTGACTCTAAAACCGTGCAAAAGAGACCCCAAACCGAACCAACCCCAAAATCTGAGAAAAAAGTTAAATCTGGGAACATTGGAATCGAATTAAAAATCGCCTGGAGCTACAATTTGGAGGCTTGTGTCGACTCAACCTCTCTCATTTTTACACACAAGTATTTTTTCAAATTATTAAGCACTTTTTCTATAGTTAAAATTTCAGAGAACGAAAATTAGTAGCTGTTGGAAGTTTTTCGCATATTTTTGCCATTTTGGACTCACAAAGTGGCCACGAAATTGCCAAATTTGTGCTTCCCGACGTCGTTGAAAGCACCCCTTGCTACCACAAGAACTACCTATACGTGACCTGCTTTGATGGTAATTTATACTGTCTTGATTTCGCATTAAATTCAATCAAGTGGGCCTATAAAACAAATGACAGGGTTAAGTGCACCCCAATTTTGTGCTACAATGCCACAAGAGTCGTTTTTGGGTCCTACGACAAACATATCCATTGCGTCGATATTTTGGTACCGTAAAGTGTTACTTACCGCCCTGTATGATTTTTCTCTTTTAGAAAGGAAGCGGTGTGTGGACGTCATTTGTTTCAGAAAGTGTGATTTCGACACCTCTACTTTTAAACCAAAAAATTTACGTGGCCACGATTTGTGGCACATGCCTCTGCCTTTCCGAAACTTCCGGTACCATTTTATGGCAATATAAAACCGGAAGCCCAATTTTTGGGGCTCCATGTACTCACAACGGGTGTATTTTATGGCCAAATGTCACCGGAAGTGTCGTATGTGTAACTTCCAATGGCCATAAATTATGGCAGTATGACACAGGGGGTCATTTATACTCGTCTCTCACCCTTCAAGACGGTTTCCTGCTTTTTGGGTCGCATGATCGTTGTTTGTATGTCTTAAAAATTGAAAATGGGTCCCCTGAGCCACATTTCGTGGCCAACTTAGATGATTGTATAACAACTCCGTTAATTTTGGCTGATTTTATAATTGTGGCAGGGAATTCGGGTCGTTTATTTGTGGTGACTTTCAAGGGTGAGCTGGGGGCTGAATTGAGGCTTCCAGGGGAGATTTTTTCATCAGTGGTGGGCTGTGACAGGCGTTTGTTTGTAGGGTGCCGTGATAATAATTTGTATTGTATTGAAATTAAAAATATTTAATAAATAAAGTTGACTTGAACTGGATTATATCTTCTAATTTTTTTGTTAAATAAACAGTGTACAAGACGTGTATTTCTTTTATTTTTTATGGTGTAGGAAAAGTCCGTGTTTCCATTTTGAAGATTTTTATTTCTTTTTGTAAAGATTTTTACAACAAGAGTTGTTCACAGTATTCCTACTACGACAAAGGGATTGGATAGCGCAAATGTGATGAGGACGAATAGCAGAAATACTGCGATGATAATTTTCACAAAACACGATCTATTAACATTTCGTGAACATTAAAACCTATGATAATATGGAATGCGAAGCTCAGTGATTCAATACACAAAATTTCCGTATTTTTGGTATATTTGATCCATCACATAATACATATCAATGTGCCATATCACCAAATATTATGTCAGACATGCATATCTAATAGAACATAAAGCTATAAATACATTTTTTTGACATAATGAGTTACAATAAAACCCCATTTTGCAAATAAAAAAATTCATTACTAACAATTCTCGTTTTTTTATAGTCAAGCTAATGCTTTTGTTTGCACATCAGGATCCTTAAAATTAAGCAATTATTTTATTCACTAAGGTATAAATTTTTACTGTATATACAAATTAATTGTGCTTGGGCCCAAGCCACAGAATTACTTTGTATAGCAAGTAGAGTATCAATGCAGCGGTGTAAACAAAACAGAACCATATAAAAAAAACTTGCACATAGAATACCTACTCTTAAACTCAACCGAATCCATTATTGTTCCTCATCCCCCAACTCGTGCTTAATCTTCGAAAAATCGAACTCCTCCCCTGTCCCGCGCTTGAAAATATCCAAAACATCCAAACAAGTCGTCTCGAAATGAGTCGTGGCATCATACGACTGCGAAATGAAAATCTGCGACTGCAAGCCGTCATCAGTAGGCTCGTAGTAATCCGAAACCGAGATGAACTTCTGACGAATCGGCCCCAAGAGATCCAAACCGGGCTTTATTTCAGTTTCGGGATTGTCGGTCTCAACGGTCGTGGACACCATCGCCACAAACCAGCCTTTAGCCGCTACTTGATGCGTATAGCTGACCAAAGACACGTAAATGTCGGAATTTCGACCGACTTGTTTTTGTGGAATGATGATTTGGGTGGAGAGAGCGTCTTTCGTATTGGCGATCGGGTGGTCTATGAGGCAGATGCAGCGAACCACACGGCCCTTCTTGCGCACTCGATCAGGGACGTAAGTGGGATCGCAGTAAACTTGCTTGCATTTGGCCACTTCGGTGCCGGAACGAACCCCCACGACTCTTCCCCCTTCGCCGAGAACGATCTCGTCGATGGGCTTGTCGAGCATGTAGGTGCCTCCGTAGATGGCCGACAGCCGCGCGAAACCTAACAATTATACAAAAATTAGAGACTTTTTCAACCGTAATTTTAATAAAGTGGTTCATTCAAGTGTTGAAAGAATGTTTGCAAGAACCCGTCTTTTTATTTTACCGTTGGCTCTTCAGCCAAGCGTGACTCACCTTGTGGCAGTTCTCCAAGCCCATACATGGGGTACAAATACGGAGACTTGCCGTATCTGGCGAGAGAGTCCGAATACAGCTTAATCCTGTTGATAGTCTCCAATGCTGGTCTCTTCAAATAGTCATCATCCCTGAACAGGGCCAATGCGTGTCCTGTAAAATCCTGCGTATTCTTATCTAACCCAAACTTATCATACAGCGCTTGCATATCGGCTGTATTGGGATCAAAATCCTTCCAAGTCTTGGGATCCTCCTGCTGGAAATCTTGCACATAAATCAGGAAATTCCTAAATCGCCTCTTCTCAAACATCCCCATGAGATCCGACGCCAGCGCCTCCTTCTGATCCACCGGGACTTTCGATATCTTGCCCCCTTTGTACACATAGCTCCCTTCCACCGACTTGAACTCTAAATAGCGAGTAACGCCCGTATGGATGAGCAGTTTGACCAATTGCCCATTGGCCATAAGGAACTTGGGAATGAGATCCACGTTCCAGTCGCGGCCCCGGCCGTAGGACTCGTCAGGGGCCGGTGCACCGAACTTGGCGAACAACTCCTCCAAAGGGCAGATGGATGCCGACTCACCCCCGTAGTACTTGTTCCGGTCTACGTGGAGGACCTTTTTGCCGGACACGGACAACATACCCGACAAAATACACTCCTTTAGGCCGGTGCCCAAGACGATGGCATCGTATTCTTCATCCATTTTCACTGGTTTATTGATAACACGGCGAGAAGAAATTAACGAAGTGATACGTCACGTCAATGGGCAATGACAGACGGGCGCCAACACAAACTCACAAAAAGCACCAAACTTAGCTCACTCCCCTCCACTTGCGCTGGCATGGCGACAAAACCGAAAAAAAATAAGCTCTTCGTTCACTATTTTGCTTAATCTAAACTGAAAAGTGATTCAACTATTGAACAGTGACACAATTAGAATTTTTCACTTTGATTTAGTAATGCACGAATCAATCACGTTTTTCGGTCTGAAGATAATTCGGCAGCAAACGCTTTTTTCTCACATTTTTTTAATTTTGCCTGATTTTATGTAATTAACAATGTTTTTTTTTTCGTTACTTTATTCTAGGACTTTATTTAACACCTATTTTGTTTTCAATATTGGGGAAATAAAACAAACAAAAATATTTTTATACTAATAAAATTTAAGTATTTTTTTTCACGTTTTGTAAGTCGTGTAACACATTTGACTTTAATTTTGTCCGTTTCCTCATTTAAATTCAAACAATCTGAAATCAATGTTTTTTTTATTTAATTAGTTATTTTGTTTGTCGAATGTTGGCGTCCGTTATTCTGACATTTGATGACGTAATTCATTCGTGGGGGAAGCGTGGGGTTTTCAACCCATTGGTTGGTTCACTGAAAATAGTTCGACGTGTGCGAGTTTGGAAGTTGGTGTTAGCGTGTCCTGAACCTTATTTTTTACTATCACACGTGTGACTTCATTCTCTAGTGATTAATTTTCGTGAAAATCTGAAAGGAAGTTATCCGGATTTGGATTGCAGTCAAGTTATGAAAGATAAGGTAAAAATGTGATGCTGAAGACAAATCTGTGTTTATCTCTTTAATGCCCTTTTGTGGATGCTCGTGGAGGGAAGTTCAAAAAGCATGATTCTAGTTCAAGACTCGAAGGCTTTTTGTGACGATTTGGTTATATGTAATTAAACGTTTGTTTATAATCGCTTCATTTGTGGTAGTATGTATTATCAGATTAGATTCCCCGAAACTATTCAATCTGTTTTAAAGTGAAGACTAGGTGGACCTTGAAGGTGTCACACCTACTGACTTCATTATTTTCACAAAACGACCAGACGAACGGCTAGAGTAACTATATCCGGTTTCCTTAAGATTATTTTGCTTTGGCAAATAATCCAAATATAGCAAATGGTGCAAACCCAGTCAAACCCATCCTTTTACGTCAAGAAATTTGCACAATTTCGGTCAGAAACTCCCCAAAGTACTTCAAAGACAGTTAACTGTAAGTACCGCCAGCTTCCGGGAATCCGTATCTGGTCGCAAAGTTCAAAAACACCGCTGCGCGATGGTAAAGACTCTTGGACTCCTTTCGTTCCCGACATTTTTTACAATGTCGCAATTTAAATTTACATAAACGCCGGTTATGTCACGTTTAAATGTTTGGCAATGATTGGAAAAGCGTAGGTTTGTGAGTTATCGTCACAAAAAGGCGAATTCGAGGATGAGAAACCTTCAAATTTTATGTTATCTCATTTTGACCCTTATCTACATCCGAGTTGTGTTTGTGTCAAATGCTTTTGGAATCCGCGAAACTAGGATGAAAATTCCATACATTTTTTACAGTGTAGCAAATCATTCAAGCCCATTAACCGTAAATAAATAAACTAAAAAAATCCATTAGTTCTTCGGTTTGTTTGAAGCGATTTTTGCATAATCGTGTAATCCTTTCTGTGAAAAAACAACCTAAGCCAAACCCCAAGTGTCATCATAAATAGTAAAATTTTCAAAATTTCTTGCCATTGGTGTAATAAGTTTGAAACATTTTTGCATGCAATACAAAAATTTCTTTTTATTAACTGAAAATAAAAAAATTGCCACAGATTTTGTCCATACTATTTGTTAATGAATGCTTCCTTATTATTTTTCAATTTGTTGATGTTTAGAGACCCAAAAATCATCTTAAACTGTTACTGTATGTTTGATTAGTTTTAATTGAAATATTTAATTAACAAGTTTGAATAACTCTGACTTTGTCTTTCCCAGAACGCAAACGATGTCAAACTTCTGCAACCCCGAGCCGCCTACCGGTCCGTCAAACCCTCCGACGGCACCTCCTCCACCACCACCCCCGCCCCAATGCTCCACGTACACATTTCCTGAAGCCCGTTCTCCTGAAAGTCGCGGCCATCTCCGTAGCATCAGCCATGGAGGTAGCAGTTCTCTCGGCGGTAGCAGTTCAGCGGGTGTTGTTGGCCGACCTTCAGCCCTCAAAGGGGGTCGCGGTCACCAACGCGCCTTCTCCCAGGGTCAAATTGGAGCTGAACCCGTCCGACCGGGCCATAGCCGCGTCGGTTCCAAAACCGATTTCATCCTGCCTCCTGGACACAAAGATAGCGAGAATATCGTTGGGGGCAGCACTTCGAAGGTTTCCGCCAAGGGGCACAGTCGACAGGCGTCGCGATCGGAGAGCATCTATACGTTGCGGCGGTCGGCGCCGCCCCCTTGGTGGCGGCGGCTGTTGTGTGTGTTGCTGAGACGGTCGCCGAAGTCCGAGCCCGAGGAGAGGTGGGAGGGAAAATTTGTATGTGATTCGGGTTGATGATTTTTTTCTATAGGTATAGGACAGTGGTGCCGAATCATCTAGTACCCCCCAAGACGCCGCGAAAGGAGCATCCGAACGGGAAAAGGCCGAATAATAAAATCAGGACTACAAAATATACGCTTTTGTCGTTTTTGCCGCGGAATTTACTCGAACAGTTTCACCGCGTTGCGAATTTATATTTTATTTTTATCGTGTTGCTCAATTGGTTTCCGGCGATAAATGCGTTCGGGAAAGAGATTGCCATGATTCCAGTTATGTTCGTGTTGGGAGTGACGGCTGTGAAGGATTTATTCGAAGACCGCAGAAGGAATGCCAGTGATAAGAGGATAAATAATTCTACATGTAGGATATATCAGAGGTAAGTCGACTACAGCGCCATTTGTGACAGATGAAACGTCAACACATTCGAGGTGGCGCTGCTTTACGTACCTGCTTTTTAAACACCGGTAACATTTCCACAACAACACGGAAGTGACGGTTTGGTTAACTTGGCGGTTCCAGACGAGGACACTTTTTTCTAAGATCTTTTTGAAATGTTTGGCAATTGTACAGAAAACGCTGCGCTGACACGAACAATTTCGAAACGAGTCAGCAGTTAATTAATTTGGTTCATTGAACTTGGATCTGGTTTTGTTTCGAATTTTCAAATGATTTTTTTTTATCCGAAAAGGGTACAATATTTGATCGAGGTTGTTCGTGTTAATGACGAAATATGACTTTCTCTCACCAGCTGATCGAGATAATGTTGCGTTTTATGATTCAAAAGATCGGCGCGGTTATTTAACCCGGTTTGATTCCGGTATGAAATGAATTTTGATTGGAAAACACTAATAAGGTGTCAGTGGGACATGATCAGAATTTTTATCGGATTGTTTGTTTATGATTTCGACTCGTATTGATGTTTGGTATCTAATGGGCATTTTCCAATTTATGGGGGAAAACAGCGAAGTGTAAACAGATAAAATAGTCAAATGTTGCTCCAAATACATATTGTTTTGTTGGAAGAAAACACATCGTTAATTTGTTTAAATGGTCTCGTTCCATGAAAGGTCACAGATCGACAGACGGCGATAGTGATAAAATACGGAATGAATAATTCTATTGAATAGTCCTACAAAGAAATGGTCAACGAATGAAACCCACTTTGTATATTTCAAGTCACTTTTAATGCTAAATATTATTTATCATAAAACAATATACAGTATGTTCCCGGATTAAGTTCACAAGAGGAAAAAAAATCTTCGATTTTACACCAAAACTGTAAAGGAAAAACATTTTTGTTGGTGTTTCAATTTAATTACTAAAAATGACATTTTGTCCAAAACAGCAATGATTAATGGGTACCAATATAGTTTGTTAAAGTAACACGAGTATTGATAATTAATACTTAATGTACAAAACATATTTTTATTTTATTTATCTTAATTATACAGTATGTCCCCGGATTGAGTTTACCAGAGTAAAAAGAAAATTATCTTTGATTTTACGCCAAAACTGTAAAAGAAAAACATTTTTTGCTTCATCTGAAACGAGCAAATCTGTAATTAAAACTTCATTATTCTGACTCAGTGGAAAGAAAAGTTCATTTTTCTATCGATTTTGGGCTTGTAATTATTTTTCTCTGCGTTTTAAATCCCATCACATTGGTTTTACTTTTTTGACAACGATGGCACTTTGATAAATAAGTTTACGCAAGTTAAATGACAAAAATGTGAGTGAAAAATATAATTTTAACAAATGGCATCTCAAGAAAACAGCTTTAAGATAAAAAATACAAAGTCATTTTTAACAACAATCATCATTTTTTAGTTAATTAATTAATTATCAGAGTAACATTGTTGTCAAAAATAAATAAAACCGCCAATGTGGTAGGAGTTATAAAGCAGAGAAATATTATTCTAAGTCCAAAATCCAGAGAAAAATGAACTTTTCTTCCTAATGAATCAGAATAATGAAGTTTTAATTACAGATTTGCTCGTTTCAGATGAAGCAAAAAATGTTTTTCTTTTACAGTTTTGGCGTAAAATCAAAGATAATTTTCTTTTTACTCTGGTAAACTCAATCCGGGGACATACTGTATAATTAAGATAAATAAAATAAAAATATGTTTTGTACATTAAGTATTAATTATCAATACTCGTGTTACTTTAACAAACTATATTGGTACCCATTAATCATTGCTGTTTTGGACAAAATGTCATTTTTAGTAATTAAATTGAAACACCAACTTTGTCGATTACTAAAAATTGTGCCAAAATTCAAAAATATTTGATAGTGGTGTACATACAAGATATAGTTTTTAACTCATAAATAGTGGAATATTGTATACTCAAATGATCACAAAACTCGTATTCCGCTCGTTTTGTCATATAATTTCATATTTATTCAATATACTATTATTATTAGAACACACAACAAAAACGTTTTACATGAAACTTGAAGATTATGATGACGAATCTGACAAGTATAAAAGTAAGTAAAAGTTTTCTCGGAAATATACTTTTTAAAATGTAGAAATCCGAATAAAACAGGGGACATTGGAAACTTTATTTATATGTTTGTTAATTTTTGGTAAGATTTTATAATGCATTTTTTAAGAATAATGAAACCTATACAACAGGAAAAAATGAAACAAAAGAAAGTGCGATAAGATAAAACAAACATTTAGAACATGCAAGATGGAAATAAACTGTGTACACATAAATTGTAGAAATAAAGTAACTAAGAGTAAATTTCGCATTGTTTCAGAAACTTTTATTTGTTAAAGACTGTAAAATATTAAACTAGGTACAAAGTACCTATGTAAGTAGGTATGAACATTAGAAAAATAAAATTTATTATTCCTACTCACAATTTTTTGAGTACAAAAAACAAATACTACCTATACATAATTAAGGGAAACTGAAACACGAATTTTTCTAATTTGCGTTTATAATACGTTTATTAACGTCTCTCAGTAGGAGTCGTTTATGGCTATCTATAAAAGCACACTGTACTTTAATGAATTTAGGGTTATTTAGTTTTTGTATGCCGCTTTTGACTTGTCAGGTAACAAATTTTGCGTTGTTGCTTCGGTAATTTCACGAATTTTGGGCGGAGTGCAAACTAAATTCTGTTGGCTCATATTTTATTTATTATTATTATGTTGTAACACTAATAATTTGTAAATTTTATTTTTAATGACAGACGGCAGAAATGATTCAAAAAATCAAGTAGGCGCCGAGTGTTACCAACCGATACCAACTAACACAAAATTCTCTAGACGATAAAAATATTTTTTTTTAATTAAAATAAGAAAAAAGGAGGCGCATATTAGAAAAAATAGCATAAAATACTCACTCGTTTTATAATGGCATTCAACTCTTATAAAACTTGTTCTTTAATATAGTGTTTTTCTATTGGATGCTATTATAAAACCACAGAAAATAGAGAATAAAACAAAAAAATAAAAGAATTGTCGCATCATTTTTAAATTATTCGTAATTTAAAGTATTAACAATTTTAGATTTTTCAGTTTAAAATTTCGTTAGAAACATCATGTGTTGTAACCAAATTTTGTAAAACTGCACCTGCTTTTGACAGAATAACGCATCGTTTTCCATATTTCATTATCTCGTAAATAATTTACATATTCTTGTAAATTTTGTAAAACATGTCTAAAATAAAACAGAGATTAACCAGTTGTAAAATCAGGCCAACCGTTGAGGGAATCCAACTTTTAATAATAATAGTTCATAAGCTTTATTACGCCGTTCCTGGTGTAGCATTTTATTCATAATTCACAATTTAATTAAATCTAAAATTCCTCCGTCCGAACTTGACACAAATCGACAAACAACGGCCAGTTGAAGGCACGAAACATTCGTTTCTGATCGATATGATATGACACATAGAATCAAACAAATGACTCTTATTGTACAATAATCCGAATAAATTACAATGTTGGTAACCCGTCAAGGTGAAGGAATAAAAAATGTCGCAAAATATTGGGATTTTATCCGACTTTCGCTCGGATTATCTCACGACCTCGTCGGATGACAATTAGCAACCTTCGCCCATTTTGGCGAGAAAAATGCGATTTCTGTACAAAAATGAAGAGTCGAGGTTTGGCTTTGTTCGCTGATCTAGAAGCCAATTCAAGGATTTTATTATTTTTATTGATACTGTTCAGACTAAACATCAATTGGGCACGATCTCTAAGCGGATTGAATTTTTATCGTCGCCATGACCTTTTATCATTCGGCAATAATTTTTTGAACTTGCAATAATTTGCTGTAATTGAAGTCGTTTTTAAATAAACGGTGAATCGGATGTATTCGGTTTCGGCCTTTCAAATACATATATGATTATTTTAATTTTCAAATGATACATAGTGGTGTCGGTTGCAAATTTGGGTTTATGTTTATTTTTAACCAAGGCGAAATTGTGGCGTATCTATTATTTTGGGGAGAAATGTCACAAATATAATACGACAAAATGTTTTTTCCAATTTTGAAAGCCATAGACGTAAAAGGTAAGTTTTATCAGTTTTTTTGTTGATTTTTTTCCGTTTTTAATTTTGTAGAAAATGAAAAAAATCACGTATTCATTAGTGACAGTTATTAATTTTCATTTTTCATGGCTCATTTAGAGAATTTTCTCTCACAAATCTGTTGTTTGTGAACAAATTTCGAGCAACGACCGACCAAAGATCTCTCAATATTTACTCAAAAAAATCCTTCAACTTTGCAGAAATCTGTTGAAAAGTCTCGCACGTGCGACGTAAATATTGTCGTTATTTTGCGAGTCGCTGAACTTAATATTTTGTAAAATAACCCGGTCATGTACGACCCACAAACGTTAACTGTTAACCGTTTGCGTGCCGTCATCGTGTTGTGGGAGAGTGCAAACCAATGAATTTTTCATCTTCACTCCGTATTATGTGTATGGTGCTTTGACATTATTACATTCGAAAAATCGCCCATCCGGAGTTGAAATATTCAAAATGCTCTTTGGATTCGTTCCAGAATGGTCGGAATTATTTCGTTAAATAAACATTCACTAGTACACATTTACAATTTGATAAACAATAGTCACGGCATTAAAAAAATATGAACTAATGCGCATTGTGATAATGCTGTTTGTCCTTGACCCGGTGGTGGTGTCCTTGACGAGTTTCTGACCCTTGTTATCGAACTTTTACTTTCCATATGTGAATTCGGAACGACCATATAGGTATGGTCGGAAACCGGATTCATGCCATTTTTGGTATATGGTGTGTTATGGTGTGTCAGCCATTCTTTCTTATTAATTTCTTATATTTTTTTAAACATTATTATTTGTACCGCGCCCGTCAAGCTTGCTCCTCAACATTTTCAATTTTTGTTCACACAAGTCATAGAAAAATACTCCTACCATTTGTATTTATTAAAAAATGATAAAAAAATAACATATGACCTCGAAATCAAAAAACATCTGTCGCTTCTGATTATGCAACCGATGGCAAATACAACATTCCAAAACCTTCTATCTTTAAAATAATTGACACAGTTTGTCAAAATCTTTTTTCATCAATTTTAAGTTTCAGAACCATCTGCGATTAACCCATTTACACAACATAAATCTGTATTTTTTAAAAAGCAAATTGCTCTCTTTGCTCGACCAAAAATAGTCTCGAGGGACGAATTTATACAAGAATCAAATTTAATGGACGATTTATCACAGCTTTCGCTAAGAGCGCCTGTTCTGAACCGCTTTTAATCGTGCCAAGTACATCAAGTTATGTTTGCAACGTAACAACAACAATCAGTAGTTCTCTCGAAATGTTTGTTTCCATGTCGATAGGAAAAACTATTTTTATTACACGAATGATAAATAAATAGACGAAGAAATCTGGCGGTATTAAAAGGTTTGCAACTTGAGTAACGTTGGCAAGAAATAAATATCCCTAGTTAAATGGAAGCAGTGTCCCCAAATTTACTTTTTATATTTATAGGTTGTATCAAAAATAATTACTCTCCTGGTGGCAAATTTCAATACAAAAATACTCGACCATTATTCTCTCACATTTCTAATAATAATCGTACTTTTGACGTCATACCGCGTCGTGATTTCCCGATAAGAGAAAACTCGAAAACAGTGACGTCACTTGAACCCCTTCATTTGCATGACGAAGAAAAATCGCTGTTCCGGTACTTCGACCCCTTATGCAAATCATCGTTGCGGCCTACTTTTTGTGCTCATTTGTGATTCCGAAGTCCGGGGAGTCCGGAATTGCTTCCGCAACATCGAATGCGCTATAGTGCCTTAGTGTGGATCGCGTGACTTAAAGCTCATGAAACAGGATTTTAATATGTTTATTTTATTTTTTTTAATTGTTTGACTTCTAGATTTTATCAATAATTGTCGCATCTGATGCGAAGGGAAGGTATCAGTCGGTCAAGGTCGTGAGGGGTTCGAGTTTGATTTGATTGAATGAACGGTAGACTCATTATTTTGGTTAAATAATAGGCAGCTATAAGCGAATTCGATGCGTGGATCAATTAAATGAACGATGAGGGGTGAATGCCGTAAGGGGTTGTCAAGGTCAGGAAATAATTAATTAATGAAAAATGCAATAGTGTGGGTTTTCTTTGTAAGGGAAATTGATAAGTCGCGAGATAATCGATGAGGAATGTGAAGACTTATGATTGATAATAAAGATTTTTTAAAGGGATTTTTACAGTAATACGAACTGTCAGTTAAGACTGATTAAATTAATCAAAAAAATTAAATTTGTATAAAACGTAAAAACTAGCTTTTATCTTATTACATTAAGTATCAATCACTTAAAGTCATTTATTTATTGAATTATATGTACTACGAGTAAATAACTTTATGAATGCAATGTAAAACATTGCTTGTAGTGGGGTTAATTCAAATTTTTATTTCACCATTTCACCTTAGAAAAATATCTAAAATTGTATATAATAAGTGACTTTTAATTCACCTACATAAAAGTACATATGAGAAAAAAAACGCTGTTATTATAAAAATAACGCCTTGATTTGTTGTAAGCTTTAATAATTTAACAGTATATTACATACCGAGTAAGGAAGAGCTGCATTACAGCCGAGTATTGGTTGTTAATTGATCTAAAGTGAAGCTTGAATCAGTTAAAACGTAAGGCTGAAAAAAAAAAATTCTTCCTTCGAGGTTTGTTTACTATTTGATTCGCGATCATTACGTAATATTTTTAGGGTATGTAATAATTTCCCGGCGAGTTTCAGTAATCATCCAGTTCCTAAGTGTTGTTATGTTATTAAATTGATATACAGGGTGCGCCAGGACTCGCGCCCCAGAGAAGGTAAAATACCAAAAACATGGAAAAAATGTTAAAAAAGATTTATCTATAAAAATTGCGAAGTTATGAGGGTTTAAAGTTGGCACTTTCACTCTATTTATTTCTGTTGGAAAAATAATTTTCCAAGTTTTTTTGCTATAGGCTATTAAAAGAAGAAACAAGGAAGCTGTATCCTAAATTGTAACTATGTTCAATGTTATTTGTGACTTTTATTGGCAAAATTTTTGTCCTTTTACTAAATAATTGTAAAAAAACATATACAAGATCATCAGTATCATTAAATAGATATAAAAATATGTCAAATGTCAAAAAATAAATGTCAAAAAATTTTGACAGATAGAATTTTTTTAACATTTTTTTCGTGTTCCTGGTATCTTAGCTTACTTGAAAATTTTCTCTGGAGCGCGAGTTCTGGCGCACCCTGTATTACAATATGATTGCGAATAAAAACTATTAGTAACGTTTATATTGTAGAGAAATCATGTAATTTTTGTTAAATTCATTTATCGTTTCTAGTGAGATTTACATATACAATATCTCTCTACTTAATTTAAAAAAATTTAATTTTTATCAAGAAAATCTTTGAAAAAAGCAAAAACATTGTATTGTAAAATTGTTTTGCGTTACGAGGAAACTTTTCCTTAAAATACGTAAATTAAAGTTACTGTAAGATTGTGAAAAAACTATGGTCACACAAGCATTTTTTAAAATTTTTAAAAATTGGTACTCAACAACAAGTAAAAAGTTTACAACATTATTAAATCGCAATAGACAGCTTAAATCACACAAAAAACAGCTTATCACATATTGAACAGTTAAAAAATATTATGATATAGTTTAAAACACCTCTTTATGGACAGGGAAACTAAATATACAAAAGTGTCATAAATGTTAACCATTTTTTTATCTTATCACTTATAAGTAAATCGGAAACGCAGTAATTATTTTCGAGAATTTTTCGACCTTGCTTCTTGATTGAGATAAAAGTAAAATTAGATTTTGCATCAGGTAATCAAAAGATTCACCTCTAAAAATACTCACTTTTCGTAGAAAGTTTGAAAACTTTTCGCCTAGTAATAAATAAACTAATCGAATCAAAAACTTATGAATAATTTTCCTCGTACCCTATATTCTCTGATTTGTTTGGATGACCGTGAATACCACACGATTGACATAAAATCAATTGAAAGCTCGTATGCACAATCAATCATTCATTGCGGAAACCCCATCTGACATCACCTTGCATCATATAATTCTACCCTCTACATAATCGTCATAAAATAATCATTCTAGGCCAATAAAAGTCACAAATCGAATGATATTGCTTAGTTAGGTATTTATAAAACGTAAATAGAAGGCGTTTCTTTGCTTACAATCGAGTTAAATGGTTTGATTTTTTGTTATAGCGAAGCCGCCAGATATAAGAAAGTCCTTTGGAAAGAGGTGAGAGTCGGGGATTTGATTCATCTTTCGAATAACGAAGTCGTCCCAGCTGATATTCTTTTGCTACGATCAAGTGATCCGAGCGGCTTGTGTTATATTGACACCGGCCATCTAGATGGCGAAACGAATTTGAAGCAACGTCAAGTCGCCCGAGGATTCGTTTCGAAGGTGAATGTTACCACTGAGTTTAAAAAAAATATGTATTATGTTCTTTACAGCAAGATGTGTTCGAGCCTAGCAAATTCCGCAGCAAAGTGGAAGTGGAAGCCCCCACGACGAAAATCTATCGTTTTCACGGTGCTATCGTACATCCATCGGGTGAGAGAGTACCCGTGGGTACTGACAATATACTACTCAGGGAGTGCCTTCTCAAAAATACCGATTTTGTGGAAGGAATCGTCGTTTATGCGGGTCACGAGACCAAAGCAATGCTCAATAATGGGGGACCAAGATATAAAAGATCTTCCTTAGAACGACAAATGAATCAGGACGTGCTTTGGTGCGTCCTGATTTTAATCGTTTTGTGTCTGATCGGTGCCATAGGGTGTAAGCTTTGGTTGAACATATTTAATCGTTTAGAGCCGCCTTTCAAGACGGAACATTCCGAAGGGACAGAGGCATTTTTAGCGTTTTGGACTTATATTATCATTTTACAGGTTGGTATCGCCGGATATGGAATAATTAGAAACAATCTGTTTATATCAGAATCAATCTTTGTGTGTTTTTTTAGTCACGATGAGTGTGTGTAATTTTTTTAATAGTGACTTGTCACTTGTTATCTAATTCATTTGTTTTTTATCTGTTTCGACTCTATTTTTATTATGTTGGCCATACACGTTTTTTAAAAGTCGTAATGAAATTTAGAATAATTAATAACAACTACAGTTTGTTTTTATTTTTTTGATTGATATTAAAAAATGAAATAGAGTTTGTGCAACCAAATACAGGTGCGCCAGAACTAGCGCCTCAGATAAAAATACCATATAAGGTAAGACTATTTATTTCTGTTAGAAAAATTATTTTCCAAGTTTTTTTGCTATAGACTAATAGAAGAGGAAACAAGGAAGCTGAATCCTAAATTGTAACTTTGTTCAATGTTATTTGTGGCTTTTATTGGCAAAATTTTTGTAACTTTACTAAATAATTATAGAAAAACATATACAAGATCATCAGTATAATTAAATAGACATAAAAAAATGTCAAATGTGAAAAAATAAATGTGAAATTTTTTTGACATAGACTTTTTTAAACCTTTTTTCCATGTTCCTGGTATCTTATCTTACTAGAAATTTTTCTCTGGGGCACGAGTTCGGGCGCTGTATACAGTTGATCATAAAGTAACGCACAAAATTCATATTTTTGATTTCAAAAAAGTTCTCAAACAGGTCGATTTTAATTTTATAAATGCTATACTTTGACAGTATTGTAACATTTATGACGTCATTAGATTTTGAGTAACTACGTCATTATTAATTTTTTTAATGCCAATAAACTATTTTATGACTGTTTTTGGTAATACATAGATACATTCTATGTTTTTAAAAGAAAATATTACCAAAAGCAATAAACAAAAATGTTGGCGGTGATTAAAAAAAATACTGATAACGTTGTTACTTAAACTCATTGACGTTGTAAGTTATAAATAATAAAAATGTATCATTTACAAAAATAAAATTGATGTTCGAGAATAAAAAAAAAATATCCATAAAATCATGAATTTTGTGCGCTACTTCTGACTCACATGTTACATCTGAATTTCATGACTGTTATTTCAGTGTAAGTGTATTTCATCTAGATGTAAAAAGCATTTGTTTTCTTTTGCAGATTATGATTCCCTTATCGCTCTACGTAACCCTTGAAATGTGCAAAATTATCCAAGTGTACCACATCCACCACAACGTTGACCTCTACGACCCCATCATAGACAAACGCACCGAATGTCGCGCCCTCAACATCACTGAAGAACTCGGCCAAATCCAGTACATTTTCTCGGATAAAACTGGCACTCTTACCGAAAATCGGATGATTTTCCGTCGATGTGCTATCGCCGGCGTCGACTACAACCATCCGAAAATGGAAAACGAAGGCAAAAATGGCAAACTCAACTCGCTTAGTGTAGTCGCAAACCCTCGTCTCATCAGCGACCTTAACCAAGTCGGCGCTGTTACCGAACAAATCTACACATCTCGCCAGACTCACGCAGCCAAAATCCAAGAGTTTCTATTATTATTAGCCGTGTGTAACACAGTCGTATGTTCGAGACATCCACATTATGACATGATGAACGCGTCGGGGTTGATCGAGGCGGTGCCGAGTAGTTTCAATCAATCGGATAAGTACAGACGGCTGGAAGAGTCGCGTTCGGTAACTCCTTCTCCACCACTGAATTTCGTAGAAGGGAGAACGGACCTGTCATGTTCGTCCGAAGTCGAAGTAAAGAAACCCAAACTATTGAATTTACCGCTCTTGGGACGAAAACAGGGGAGTAACACTAATCTAACAGACGAGCAAAAGGCGAAATTGCGGTCGTCAACGCCGAGTCCGCACGAGTTAAAGCCGATTTTTGAGGCAGAAAGTCCTGATGAATTGGCTTTAGTCGATGCCGCCTTTAATTACAATTGCAAATTGTTGAAACGGACTCCGACTTCTGTTTGTGTCGAGTTTTTCGACGAAGGCCGAGTGACTTATGAGATATTGGACGTTTTGCCTTTTGATTCAATCCGCAAACGCATGTCTGTCATTGTCAAAAATCCGATTACTGATGAAATTATTTTGTTTTGTAAAGGGGCCGACAGTAGCATTTTTCCGTATTTAGCTCCAGTCGAGGATGATTCCGAACAAAAAATTATAATAAGTAAGACACAAAATCACGTCAATAATTATTCAAAAGATGGCTTCCGTATTTTACTAATGGCCAAACGGGTATTGTCACAACAGGAATATGCAGAGTGGAGTAAAAAACAACGAGAGATGAACATGTCACTTGATAATATTGAACGTAAAGTACAAGAGAATTACTCGCGTATTGAGTGTAATTTAACCCTGTTAGGGGCTACAGGGATTGAAGACCGGCTCCAAGAGGGAGTTCCTGAGACACTTTCAGCTCTTATGTCGGCCGGAATTGTTGTTTGGGTTTTGACCGGAGACAAACCAGAAACCGCTATTAACATAGCCTACTCTAGTAAATTATTTTCGCCACATATGGAACTATTAAAACTTATGACACGGTCGAAAGAAACAGCCGAAAGCACGATTATGTTTTACTTATCCGAGATCGAAAACGCCGCCTCTAGTATCCAAACAGTGTTGCCAACTACAAGTCGGCGTGATTTAAACCGCTCTGGGCCGAAAAACCGAAGCAAGGCTCTAGTCATCGATGGGAAAACCTTGACTTTTATTCTCGACCGACGCTCAAACCTAACCAAACCCTTTCTCAAGCTAACCACTCAATGTAGTTCAGTTTTGTGTTGCCGGGCGACTCCACTCCAAAAGGCTTATATCGTGCGAGTAGTTAAAGAGGAGTTGAAAATGAGGACTTTGGCTATTGGGGATGGGGCCAATGACGTGTCGATGATCCAGACTGCCGATGTCGGGATTGGGATTTCAGGTCAGGAGGGGATGCAAGCCGTCATGGCGGCCGATTTTGCCTTATCCAGGTTTAAATTCCTAGAACGATTGTTACTCGTACACGGACATTGGAGTTACGATCGGTTATCTCGCATGGTTTTATATTTTTTCTACAAGAATGCAGCATTTGTGTTTTTGTGTTTTTGGTATCAGTTGTTTTGCGGATTTTCCGGTGCGGTTATGATCGACCAGATGTATCTTATGTTGTATAATCTGTTGTTTACATCGCTGCCGCCTCTTGCAATCGGTAAGTTACTAGTTTAGTTTAGTTTAGTTTGTCAAGGTTTTATTTGTGTCGGTTTTAGGTGTGTATGACCAGGACGCTCCTGAGGAGCTTTTGAGGGATAGGCCATACCTGTATAGGCAGGGCCGGTTGGGGAAAGTCTACAGGAGTTACTCATTTTGGTTGACTATGGCCGATGCCATTTACCAAAGTCTTTGTATTTTTTTCATCTGCCAGGGGGCTTACGCCGACTCTGATATCGACATGTTCGAGTTTGGAACTACGGCGACGACGGCGTGTATGTTTGTGATGTTGCTGCATGTATCGATTGAGATACGGTCGTGGGTGAGTAATCTAATATAATGATTTAGTTCTTTCTTCAACTGCTTAATTTCAGACTATAATCCATGTGGGTTCAATAGTGATTTCGATTGGGGCGTTTTACGCCTATTCGTTCCTTTACAATTCCCTGTGCGTCAATTGTTTTGGTTTGCCTAGCACCTATTGGATAATCCAGAAGGCAACGAGTCGACCCACTTATTGGTTGGTGACTTTGCTTTCATGCGTTGTCGCTTTGTTGCCGAGGTGAGAGCCGAATTGTATCAATTTTTTTGTTTTATATTAGTTTGTTTAGGTATGTGTTCCACGTGCTGAAAACGCTGATGGCGCCGGATGACGTGACGAGGGCGGTGATGGCTTACCGCAGGGCTAGTAGAAGAGGTGAGGGCTTTCTCGTATCTTGGTCAAGGTCTACGTCTACATCTTCCATATACAGGTATTGTAAGGGGTGGCGGTTGCTCGCTTTTAGTGCACTGTAGTGTCCTCTATGTAGTCTATAAAGGTAGGTAGCACGTCGCTTTTCATTGTGATTTTCTGGGAATTGTGAGTAAATTTTTTCGATTGTTGTTTTGCAGAACCACAGATTCGAGGCCTAAGAATAACTCTTTGACAGCTGTGGGCTAGACCAGTGTGGCCTTAGGGAAATCAAAGTGCTGGTAGTTGAAATAAACTTGTATTTTAGGCTGTGATGTGTATAAATAAGGGACCAATTAACTTATTCCAAAACTATTTATCTTAGCGCGAGATTTTTTAAAGTGTAAGTGGAGCAATTGATTGTGCCATTTTTAATGAAGTTGTGTACTTATATTTTAAGCCGATTACAAACTTTGCAGTTACCAATTCATCCTTTTATGTTCCTGTTTGATTATATTTCACTTGCCAGATTTGTTGAATGCACAATTTTTCTATTCTAATTTATTTTTTGATGAGATTTTTTAAATATCCATGACTGTGACGTGACTACTCTATTTTTTAATATTTCTAAGGTGCTAAGTGATGGCAATGAAACAAAATCAAACTTTCTTTCTGTATAGGTGAAACACTTTTATTATGTAAGTCGAACTCACTTTTTTACGGTTTTCACCATTGCCTTAAAAACGTTTTCTATAGACTGTGTGATGTAACATGTTGATTTTCTAGAGTATAAAACAGAATGTTATCAAATAGTTTATTTTAGATGCGATTTAATGAATGAATATTTTTATGTACGAATAAAAAGATACCAGTATTAGACGTCTGTATTTTATTTATTGAAGATGAACTGAAAGTGTCATGCACTGTTAAAGTAAAGAAGGGAGCTAACACGAAAATTTTGTTTTCTTGGTCACATTTCGGCAGATTTTTTGCCATAAACTGCCATCCAAGATCAAACAAGTGAATAAATCTTACTAATTAAATTAATTTTCAGGGTGATGAAGATTTAGATACAACTGATGATCAGGAAGATTTCGAAGAATTACAACTTCTCGAGCAGTTGAAAAAATTTAATATAAGTAAATGAAGAAGAGTCTTGAAAAAAACTTAAAAAGGTTACTTAAACCCCTCGAATTCGATTTTCAAGACAGATTGTGCAAGTAATATAGTCGGTTTCATTGATGTATTCAAAACCAAAATTTCCGGTGAGGATAATAAAGCGATTCTATGTATACAGGGTCGCTAAAAAGTATAGTTACAGTTAAATATAAAAACTATTCACCAAAACTTATTGAAATTTGGTATATGCTTAAAAGTTTTTAAATTCGATCGCCTCAGATATTTATCAAACTTCTATCTCCATTTGTTGTTCTGGGGACACAAGGCTAACTTTTTAATGGCAAGAAGGATCAAATTTAATATATTTGAGAAGAGCATTTTTTTCTTATTTTTGTGATGTAACACATGCATACTTTATCTTAATCGAAAATTATCGGACTAATTAAATTTTGAAAAATGTATTTTTTATTAGCCTTTGAAATGTTGTCTTTATCTATCATTAGCTTTATTTTGTTGCCTAAAGTTTGACCAAATAATAAGTAAACTATTTCCCAAATTTCAACGTGCTTTGCTAAACCGTTCTGAAAATATTTAGCTGTATCCATACTTTTTAGCGACCCTCTTATACCTACTTAATTAATAAATTATTCAAATAAGACGAGAAATGAAGACATGTGATTTCTAAACTGTATTACATATTCTTGTAACAAGAGTGCCATCTATCCGCGTCTAATTTTTAAACAAAATTACAGCAACTTGACTGCTATATCTTTCCATCAGGTTCATAAACAGACTTTTGCAGTAATTTGTAAAGTCTGTTTTTTCTTTAAATGGAAATTACCAAATCAAATGTTTGCTCTTTGTTTTTGTCCCTAGAAATTTTGTTAAAAAATTATGGTTATGTTTTCAAATTTATGAATCTTGTGTGCCTGTTTGCTCTTTGACATAGCTATAATTGAATACCTGAGAACAGACATCATTACCTAAGGTCTAAAGACAGAATTGGGTGCTGATAATTTTGATAGAAACACACCGCAAGTAAGTACCATGTTGTAGAGAAAAATGAAGTTCTTGCTACAAAAACTTTGAAGAAAAAGGATGTATATACAGAAAAAAGTTATTTAGCAAAAGATACAAATAGGTATTATGATTGGCAATAAATTTTCTAAATGAGATCAAAGTTGATGCATTTTATAAATTCTTCAGCAATAGTTTCAAATTTTTTTAAATTTATTCTTCACAAACGATCGCAAGACACTAATTTAATTGCGTTTTGTCCAAAATTCTCATTCATGTTTATTTTGTATTCTTGTCAATTGTTTGCTAAAAATTGAAAATGTTTAGCAAACCTGCATTAAAAATTGCGTCTAAATTTTAACGAGCCCTTTTTCTAACTTCCTGCTTGCGAACTATTCGTTTCCGAATTTCTAAAAACTGTTACGGTACCGAATTTGTTCCTTTTTTGGTGTTTCGTCTCTAAATTTTCTTAGATTTTTTGTATTGACATTTAACGACATTGTTTTCAAATTAATTCAAAAAACCTGAACTTCAACTTCCTTTATTAAAATTACCATGAATGAATTTACCAGTGGTGCCAACGTTAAGACTGTTTGGCATTTCCATTTTAAAGAAAAACAGACTTTCAATAAAATTTTGAGGCCCGGTTTTTGGAAACATATTTAACGAAGAGATGAAAACGTACGTTAAACCATGGCAACACCAATCAGATCAGCGCTACCTTAGCAACGATCAAACAATTAAATTTTAACTGAGGTTTAATCTATAGAGTTTAATCATACCAGAAATCGGGCCTAAGAGAATTAAAATGGCTCTTCATAGTGACAAAAAATTGCTTGCATCATTTTTTGAAAAAATTATATCAAGGGTTAAATTTGGATTGAAAAAATAATAAAATCTCTTATGGTAATAAAAAATTGCTGCAAATAACGTAAAATAAAGTTTTTTTTTTATGAAAAATTATTGTAAAACTTTTTTACCGAGCAAATACACTCTGACTAAACCTTGTGACAGTTATTGCCTCAATGGCAACGTTGCAACTGTTTTTTTTTTTTTTTTGAGGTGAAATAGGTCAAAAACATTTGATTTGTGTGTAAAAGAAGAATCTGTGTTTGCTTAATTTTTATTATTTACAAACTTGTGTGTTGCTCCCTAGTATGTGGTAGCCAAAACATGACAAAAACTCCTATAATAAAACCTAGAGGTCGGTACTGTACCATTTTTTTTTTAATATGTAGTATTCAATTTATAAATATTCGTCCATTACAGAAATTAAAAAGAAAAAAATAACAATAGGGTTTCATCGCATGTAATTAATTCAATGAGATTTAGTAGACAGTCAGGGCAGGATCGGCCGAAATTGCATTATTGCGGGCTCGAAAATATTTGCTGGCACGTTTGAAATTCCCGTAAACAAGTAGTAATCAATGGAATTATTAAATGTTATCAGTTACAATCTGTTGCCGCGTTGTGTAAAAAATATTGGAAAGTGAAGTAGCCGTGGTTGGTACGATTAAGTATCTCTGTGGGCGCCTTGGGTGAGGCTTCAGTGAAGCGTAATAAAGAGAGTTGTTTAAAGAACAAAATATAATTTATTGATAATGATACAAGAAATACAAATATAAATAATAATATACAGAGGTGGCCTTTGATAGGCATCCAACTTTTGTGCCAAAAGCCAGCACAGTCGTCCACTACACATCATCAATAATCATCAGTATTGCGACATGCGACAAAGTATAAATAATAAGTTACATATAAATTATAATAATAAAATAACTAAATAACATAACGTGTCGAATGAGAAACATAAAAATTAAATAATGATTTAAATAACAAAAAAACGTATTCTTTCATCGGTCACAAGTCACACAACGAGAAAAGCAAGTAATAAAATAATAAATAAACTTCGATCACGGAATGTTACAGAAATCGAGACCGACGACTGAAGGAAAAACTAAACCTAAGTTTTGCACGTACACAATCAACATTCGTATAAAACACGCCTCTAACTAATATAATATTATCATCTTTTTAAATATTTAGAAATCACACAATATCAAAATCACGCCGCCGCTCGGCGGACCTACTGTAACATCATAAATAGTTAAGTCTTTGAGTGGTTGCACTTTATTATAGTAACTAGAGCACCAAGTCCCCGATTTTCATGGCATGCATTCGATTAGCTTCGGCCAACCTGTTGAACACCGGAAGACGGTCATCGGTGGCGGCAGGAGAGTGCAGCTCGGGCTCGCTGCTAAAAAACGAGCCCATCGAGGACGTCGGCGACTGGCTCAGACTGCAAGGAGGGCTGCTGCTGTCCAGCGACAGCGTGGGGCTAAGCGCCGCCGGCCGGGGCCGTGCCCTCGCTAACGCCTGCTTCTGAAGCACCACTTCGTCCTGGTTGTGCACGAAGTGGCACCGGGGGCCATACGGACAGAAGCCCACCGTGTGGTACGTGCGACACAGCTCCGTCTTGTACTTGGGGTGGCGCGCCAGAGATCGCAATTCGGCGCCCCCATGCGCAAACTGACACTTGTCGCCGTATTTGCACACGCCGAATTCTTCGTACGGTCGACACAGCTCCGTTTTATACCGAGAGGTGTTGACGGCGGAGGCGGCGACGCTGGCGGCGTTCTGGGCCGGCGCCGGCGCCGATTGGGCGCGCTCGAGGCGTCGGTGTTGCGTCGTCAGGTTACCAAGAAGGAGAGTTAGGTTCTGGTTGGTCGCCGGCGTCGACGCCATCCGCGTCAATGCGAACCGCATCCCGGCTGTTCCCAGGTCCAGAGGGCTGCCGGGGGCGGCGTCTCGGGACGACACCGCATTCTAGAACAACGAAACCAACATCAAATACATGTTTACAAAAAACACAGAGCATATGAAAAAAGTTTAAGCTACTCGAGCAATTTTTTAACAAATTGGAGGAATATTCGTGTGTTTCGACGACGTTTTTGGGGGTGTTTCGTTGGATCCACACTTTCATCTCAAAAGACACAATCGGTAAAAGTTCGTTCTACAAGCCTACTTTCTCGCAGTGACAAACGCTAGGTGTATGTGTGTGTGAAAGCTATAACCAGTGGGAGTCGCAGTCGAAGAGCATTTCTCTTTTCTCGCGCCACCAAAACAACGAACGTTTTCGATTTTTACGGTGAGACGGGGCGCCAGTGGCGTAACACAAAAGCGGGCGCCGGGTTTTAACTACCGTTTAATTATTAGAATTACACCAAGCGGTTGTGTAACATTAATAAATCAATTAAATCAGAGGTTTCCAATCAATAATTTTCTGTTAATTTTAAACCTTTAGAAATCATATACTCTACAAGTGACTAAATATTTCTCTAATTCTGTTTAATTAACAAGTTTCTAATATTTTTAACAAAGTGTAAAGAAATGAAAATACTGTCTTCTATGCTGCGTACAACTATTTTATTACTGATTGCAAACTTATTATAGCAATGACATAATTTCGATTTAATTGCCCTTACACGGCACTAAAAAACTTAAATTACTTTCACTAATCGAAGTTTTTACAGACAAAATGTCACTTGACCAAATTCCCTCACCAATTATTATCTGAGAACACTCCGAACAAATTCATTAAAATTAAATCTGGAAAGGTTTTAATGAAAATAAAATCAATGAAATTTATGTCACTGTGAACCAAAAATTAAAATAGCGTGTTTATGCTCGAATACTAATCGAAAGTAGTAAAATTTACCTCAAAATTATGGTTAGAACAAAAACTAGGTCTCTAAATTTCTTTGAAGGCAATTTTATCAAAACAAATAAAAATAAGCCGATAAAGTGTCTGTAAAACTAGTTGAAAGGTTATTATCGAAAATGTTCTATAACTTAACCCAAAACTTTGGATTTGTATAACAAAATACAAACGAAGCTACAAATATTCACTACCAAACTCAAAATTAAAGTTTTAAGGTTCAAAAAAACCTTGCCAATGAACATTTAGTCAAGCAGTTATTGTAAAACGAAATTCAAACATCTGTGAAGTATTTTAATGTTTACAGAAATTACACTAATTCATCACATTAAAATCGCACCTAGAAACAAAACTGCAAGGTTGGAAAACATTTTATTTTAAACAATCGATCCAAACTTTAACTAATAATCTAGTAATTTGTCAGACTTACAAATACAATTCCATACACAAATAAAATAACTGTGTAAATCAATATTAAAAGCTGAAATGCCAAAGCGAAAACAGAAATTTGAAATCTCAAGCAAAAATGATAAGAGGAACCCAAACAAACAGTTGTGGGTGGTGCAAAAACAAATATCATTCCCTAATTTTCCCTAGGCTTGAGCAATTTCAAACCCAGCCCGAAAAGAAAGTTTGGTTTGGCATTTTCCAGAATCCCGCAAAAATTCCGCTTTCCCCGCAAATGAGCATCCCTGAATCCCACCCTATGTTCCGCCACTGTCGACTTTCTATCACCACTCCAAAAACGTTATCGCCCCCGAAGCGTGATAAGTTTTTAAAGTCGCCTTCGCCTGAAGGAAGGAATAATAATAAACTTCATCAATTTGTGGAAACGTTGAAACAAGCAGTCAAGCAGCCGGTTTTGCTCGTAGTCCTTGAATCCGACAAACCAAATCAGAGACCTGCCCGTCTACCTGCCGCAAGAACTGCAACAGGTAGAAGCGCTCCCTCCGGAAAATCGACTTTTTTTTGTTTTTTCCAACTCACCTTCATCAGATTATCCCCGAAATCATATCGTGACATAATCGCAGTAGACATATTCCTTGATTTTGAGCACACTTTCAACACTTTTGAGATAAGAAGAAACACCGCGATCGTGCCGATGGAAGACTCGCAACTTTCCGAGAGGTTCTCCGGTTCGAAAGGCAACTATTTTGACGTGTTTCGCGCTTTTCCACGACGCAGCGATCGCGTGTTAATGATCCACAGCTCTTTGGCCGACTGGAGACTACAGCGAAACAATCCCTGCCAAAGTAGTCGACGCTCCCACTACGAGGAGGAGGGATGGCCAATCGACAATGCGCAACTCATAAGGCCGAAAATCCTATACCAAACCTTCGTAACTCTGGCACGGGTTAGGCCGAGTCGAGTGCGAACGACGCAAACGATTCCGAACCAATTAACTTTCAAAATAACTTATTAACAAAGTGTCGAGTTTGAGTCGAAGAAAGTGAATCTTGTTGGTCTTGGCGGTTGGTAAGGTTCTTTCGAAATTGAATATTTCGACCAGAAGCACATCTTCCTATATTGTTCACTTTCACTCGATTCGAAGCAAGGCCTTGGCTGAATTTGTAAAGATATTATTTTTCCATTTGTGGGATCGTAAACTCGGCTATTGAAAGTAATTAGCGACAAGACATTATGTCTGAAAAACATAAAAACAACCGTTTTAACGTCACACGATAATGCGTTGGAAAAAAATTAATAACTTAATGTAATGTCAATGTGATTCATCTTATCGGAAATGTTCTCCACATTGGATTGTTGTGTATTGTCTTTACGAAATAACAACTACTTCAAAAGAATCAATAAGATAAAGGATAATAAATTTGACTCTGATGTCTGATAAAGTTTATTTTAGACATATGGAGATATTCAGAATTAAATAACAAAAAATCGAGTTTAAATTCAAGACAAGCATTTATGATGAAAACAGACGTGAGAAGACGGCAAACTGGTCAGGAATGACTTAAAGAAATCACTAAAAAATGTCAAAAACATTAATGACTGCATGAAGAAACTATTCAAAAACACAAATCACAACGTAAAGACCGAAAAAGCAAAAATATCCACAAAATACTTACTGACATATGTATGAAGGCAAAGTCAAGAGAAACCAAGTAGACAATTGTTCATTTTGTGATACAAACATTTTATGCCCGAATTTAAATTAATTGTAACAATAATACAATAACAATATTTTTTAAATCTAAAGTATCCCTTTAAGAACGTATATTAAAAGACTATAAAATGTGGAAAAAATTATTAACCCTTAATTTGCTTTAAGCTACTGCACCTTATTGAAATAGTGATTAGATTTACGAGCTGTAGCGTCAAATCACGAAAGCAGTCATCTCAAACCATTATTTCAATGGTAAGAACTAACTTGCTTTGTAATGGAAAAAAAGAAAACTCAAAACTGGACAAAAATGTACAAAAATTTATTTAAAAGCATCAAATGCATGATTAGAGAGAAAAACATTTTTATAACATTAAAACATTCTGAATAATGAATTAATGATAAATACTCAATAAGTCAGCGAAAGCTAAGGAAAACTATGTAAAGTAAAGAAAATACAATTACATTTTAATAGAACCTCATGAAAAAGTTTTGTTTTAAAGTGATTAGTTTTAGAACAGTAACTCGAATAATAATTTCAACAAACCTAGCTGAACATTGCATGTAATAGGTGTAAAATAAACGAAAATCCTTTGAAAAAAATGCTAAAAATAAAAATTCAATTAAAAAAAGCATAAGTCAAGTAATATTCCAAAAAATAATATCCGTTTAAATTACACAAAAATAGAACCACATAAATGCATTCTTTGAAGTTGCAACTACAACTTTTTGCATAAAACAAGAATCTAGGGCCAAGGAAACCCACTATTAATAGAGAAGAAATACGAAAAGTGGCAGTTTATGTCAAATGTTTGAAACGTTGATTCTGGAATATCTGCTACGTGCAAAAGTTGTGATTTGTCAGAAAATTAAAAAAACAGTTGCAAGAGTCAATCCTTCACGTGTTTTTAGTAATTAATTTGATTTTTTTTTCATAATTTCTCAGAGCAAATTGGATATTACCATCATGTATGTACAGCCAAAAATTGGCTTTCAAGAGGTGTAAAAACTACAATCGACGTTAAGATGCGCATGGTGCTCGATATTGTGTTGTAGTCATCGACGAAATACTGAATTGTATGGATAGCTTTGATGCCAAATTAAAAAAAAACACCAGTTACATATTTACAAATCACTTGCGGTCAATCAAAACTATGGAAATAAGTAAAATTAATAATTTACAAACGTTTATGATAAGCCAATTAAAACAGTAGTAAATCAGATTTACTTGAAATCTTGTTTTTACAAAACAAATAAAGTATAACTAAACCAAAAAATAAAAAATTAATGAAACGAAAAAAAATTAAGTAAATTCCAGTCAAAAATATTCAGTTTTTTACAATACGTCAAAATTTACTCAGGCTTTCCAAAATGCTTGACTTTAACGACCCAAAATAGAAACTCAGTCCCAATTTAGGTCATTAGAACCGTCATAACCAACAATAAAAAAGAAAATAAAATTCTCTCAATGACAACAACTATGTTGGTCTCGATGACGTCACAAGCATCAAGATGTGTAAATCCATCATTACGTCAAAAACGTCATTGGTTTTCCAAAACAAAAAACAGCACTATCATCTTAAAAAATGCATCAGATCAAAGGACAAGGCCACGTTTTCAGCAACGGTTTGTTTATTTACATTTGAATCGTTGAAAATTAGACCAAACTGCGAGCTCCCTAACGGTAATGAAACTTTTTTACTGCTAGTCATTAATTTTGAATAGGTGCTCACTTCCCTGAAACACACTAAACAATTCTTTGTCATAATCGAACTCAGATTACTTCCCAAAAATAAGGAATAATATTCAAGTCACGTGGTCGTAGTTTATAGCTACAGGTAGTAGTTCCACGACATACTGCGATAGTTTTATGGTCAGCATTTCCAAGGCTAACTTGAACATGACGCCGTTCAACGTGATTATAGGAAGTGATTATTAGTTATTTTAAGTTTGAAGGTTGCCAACGATGGTCGGTCCCGGAACCGCTAGACGAAACGACCACGAAAAAATTCAATTCGCATTTTTCAGCTCCTGAAATTTTCCCAGTACGACGCTACTGAGGTCGTAAACTAATCAACATGTGTTAAGGCAGTGACGTCATGCCTCCAATTGTAGAAAAAGTTAATACAGAGTCGTGTGTTGTTCGTACATGTCATATAATGGGACATGTGGTTAATGTGTGTGATATTTACACTTGTCTGTCTTTAATTAGAACGCGGTTTGAAAAACTGGCCGTCCCTTGAGAGCTGAAACTCCTCTTATTACAAGAGACGCAAAAGCCATTTCAGACTCATCTCTCGAAAATAAACTGCACTTGTCTTTTCTTTTTTTCACAGCGGGAGATCGAGACACATGCCTGGCTTTTGTAAAACTGTCACATTTGGGACAGGTCCAGAAAAATTAAGAATTTCCAGCAAGAAACGACGTGAAATCAACTCCTATGTAGTAATAGAAAGTGGATAAATATGGACACAGATAAGATACGGTGTGTAACTTTACTACATTGTTATTTGCATAAGATAAGAATTGTGTGTGTGTGTGAGTTGTGTGCTTAGGAAGCTGAAGAAACCGAAAGACAGATGGGAAATGGATCGATTTCGTGACGACTTAATTACGTTTTAATGTCTCTTTTCAGTTTTCCGAAATTTCGAACAAAGGCTATTGCGGTTTTGTTTGGGGCTGTAATACGGCTGTTAAACGCAATTGGGTCAATATTCACCATTTTACGGAAGAAATAACCAAAACACAATTTTTTTATTACTAGACTGTTTTTTTTTTTATGTTTTACGAGTATGTTTATGAAACACAAAATTCATTATAATGTATTGTTTCAAAATGAGATACTCAAAATACTAAACCAACGAAATCATTTATAAACTCTTTTGGCGTAAATTCAGTTAAATTAAACGGTACATAATGAAGGTAAACCAAAATCGCTCTTTTCGGGACCTTGGGTTTTGTGTTATTAAACCGAGATTAAAAAAATCGAGAAAAACTCCAAAACAAATTGAACCACTCACATTGAGCGTTGACCTTATTAGGGCTCGTTAGAGAGGATGAGTTAAATAAATTATTTTTCCCACACAATAACCAAGAAGAAACATCGCAATGGAACTTTTTTTTACAAAAAAATGACAATAACTGACAGCAAAACTCTTCACGAGTATTGTCTTAAAAAAATCTTTAATTCACAACTGATTTTAGTGCCGGTCAAAAGGCCGGTGTCGCCGGTTGTAGATAGTTTAATTTTTCGGCGGTTCTGGTTTTATAATATTATTAACAATAATGGCAAGTAAATAATTGGAATGATGCAAGTGTCCATGTCTACTAAACGTGAATCAACCATAAATCTCTCGATTTCGAAATTCTTCCCAAATGACGTTACTCGTCACTTTTTGTTCAATGTTTTTAAAGACTTTGGCAATGACGCAAACGGTTTACATTTCCCATTTATTTATTGACATTTGCAGCTTCGCGAGTCGAAGCGATAAGTACCCACCATAACCAAATCTCCGAAATACCATTTCCATTCATAATTTACCATTTTCATGGTTCTAAACATTAGTAAAAGTTGAAATAACACGCAACCTCTCGCTCTCATCGACAAAGACGGAACGCTACGTTCTAGAAACTCTAAGAAAATTCATATTTATTGACATAACCGTTTCTAAAAAAAATTCCTTATCGCTGTTTTACATTAAACTTCAGCAACTACATCCATCACGAGATAACTGAATCTTCAATGCACACAACATTATCACCAAACAAATATAATTAATCTGACGTACGAATCAAGGTGGCCCCTTTTTCGAAATCACGACGTATGTGTAACACCTGTTGGAACGGTCTTTTCACCCTGCAGGTGGTTAGGAGAGGGTGTGGAGTGAATAGACAAACAAAAGAGGAATTTTTACGAGGGTCGGGCCCTCGCAAATCTTAAGGGTAGAAACGTACCATCTTAGAACCTCAGCATGTGTTCAGATGATACCAACATATGTGCCAACATGGAAGTCAGTGTATTTATTTGTTGGGAAGGACCGATGCACATGTTGGAGTTCCCACGATACGGAGATTGGACATGTGTGGAGACGAGGGTGGTAACCTCGACCGTTTACGAGGGATGAT